TATTACACCCCCCCCACCCCACCACCCCCCCCTTCTGTAAACAACAACGATACTTGCAACGTAACAACATCTTCAACGAAGCAACATCCTCAAGGTTTCCACAACTCTCAATCCAACGCGCTCCACATGACGTTATTACACCCCCCACCCCCCCACCCCCATCTCTATACCATAACGACGTTTATAGTATAGGCTCAAGACTGAGGGTTCCTGGAAGCTCCGGGGAACCCCCAGCCTTGAGCCTATATATATATATACATATATATATATACATACGCATGTATATTGCGTGTAATTATATATATATACTATACATGTTTACATCCAACCCAGCTCATCATCCTAAGACACATGTTTTATCACATGTTTAACCCTGCAAATTCTGTCCCCCTTTGGCACCTTGATTGCTTGTCGAATTTGCTGTGCGGCGTAGGGTACAGACGACAGAGTCCTCATGGTCAGGAGGGGCTGGACATGGTGATTTCACAACGAAACTAGATGAAAGAGATAGAGAAATTTGGGGAGAATCTCCCGAAGCATTTTGGACACATTTTGGCTTGTGAGGTGATAGATGCTTTGCCCAACTTTTTTGGGGGGCAAACCTCCAAATCCAGAGCACGACAATCCAAATGCTACCGCGAGAGCAGTTTTACGCGAGGTCGTCACAATGAAGACGGAATGAGGTTTTATCTCAATGAAATAAATATATTCCCGCTGGTACATCCACCTATATCCCCACCAATACGTTGGCCATGTTTGAGTGTCGAAGTAAATGATGGTAACTGTACCATGCAGGCCGTCAATGGTAAACACCAGTTCTGAAGAAGCAGCACTTTCAGGTGCCAGTACGACCCTTCTCCAATGGCGAATCTTGTGAAAGCCCTTCAACTCTTAAATTATCTACATTTTCTATTGGAGATATATCTACTGTAGATATTTTAAAGTGTTGGGTGTTTCTATATGTGTCTCCAATCATCATGGCTAGCCCTATACCTGAAAAAAAAAGTGCATGCTGTCCCACATTTATGGCACTGACACAGGTCTTCCCAAGTGCATCAAAATCCCCCAGCCATCCCCGAAGCATTCACAAGTTCCGAATGAAGCTCACTTCCTAACAGCCACCCTTGGCACAGCTACCAGGCAACAACGTGTGATCCAAACAGAGCAGAACCACAAGAAGCAACGCTACAGCCACAACTCCTCAGGGGGCCACGAGGATAACGGAGTTGGATGACAAAAGTACAACATATGGCTATGGTTCAAAATTGGGACCCCAATGATTTGATGTTTAATGTTTAATGCTAAACATAGACATTTCAATCTGTGGTCCAGGGCGGACATGTTGACCCATACGCATAGACCATATACCAAGCCTGAAATAAGCTCAACTCTACTAGATTTCAGTTTGGTGACATATCCATTCGACTGGCTGATAGAATAATCATTCACCAACCTTTCATCATTGATATTCTTTGATCATTTGTCGAGATGATTCCCCGTCCTTCCCATCATTGGGAAGGACGTGTCTGGAACATGCCCCAGTGAAAAGGGACCTGTCTGACCTGTCTTTCCGGTGCTTGACGGTGCCCAATGGTGGACCCTGCAAATCTTCAAGGATGGTATGACTTGAGAAAATCTCTGAAGATTGGGATAGCGTCAGCACTAAAACTTGGGTACATCGGGACATTTAGGTAAGTTTCGATGAATTTTGGGGAAAAAAAAACGGAAAAAAACACAAAACCCAATGGATGCCCGTCACGATCCCCCAAGGTGTTTCAGATATGGGTTTGTCTGAAAAAAAAGGAACCTCAAATCCATTGTACATCCATTGACTAATCGTCATTCATTCATCATTCTACATTTTCCCCGATTAACATGACCATAACTTGGAGGATATACCCCAGTTTCAGACACACCCATATATATATATTGGATGTTATTGGTTGGTGACTCAAGTCCCATCCAAAAATTCAGATAAATTATCCCATTAGATCCCATTATTAGAATTGGCAGATTCCTGTTTTTTGATCCCGTCGAAGACCTCCGGAGCCCGTCGACGCCAGAGGACCCATGTACCATCGTCGGTCCAGACGCAACTTGGCCTGGAGCCAGGCCGGAAAGGACAGGAAAGGACGATTGGAAGATCACCCCATGGCCAGTTTCTGCGAGCCACCGAAGAATATGGAAAGTCAAATTCAGTGAATCTTGTTTTAACAACTGGAAGATCTTCCCGAATTTTTGGATAGCTATGAAATTGCCAAAGGAGGACCCCATTCGTGGCATTTGTATTAAACATATTTAAACATATAATGGCTGGTGAAGCTATGCACTATGAATAATAGATGAGGATGGTATACTTCAAATAATGGCGGTGGGATGATATACGATTAAACATCTATTTGAATGATATCTTATCATTATCATTGCCATGGTATTATATATATTTATATACATACTGTCTTGCTATCATAATTATAATGATGATAACAACGATACCAGTAGTACCGCACAAGGCGTGGCAGAAGTTTCAAAAATAGGAAACCTATAGGAGAGGTTGGTTGTTGTGAATTAGGGATGGCAGAGCGAAGCCACTGATGGACTGAAAGGTGCTTGAGGTCTCCTCTCTTTCTCTCTCTCTTTTTCTCTCTGTTTCTCTATCTACCTACCTACCTACTGATCTATCGGTCTACCTATCTATCTGCCTGTCTGTCTATCTATCTCCCTATCTATCTATCTATCTACCTATCTATCTAGCTGTCTAGTTTTCTAGCTATTTGTCTATCTATCTCCCTATCTATCTATCTATTTATCTATCTATCTATCTTTCTTTCTATCTATCTATCTATCTTTTTATTTAGCTGTCTCTCTATCTATTTGTCTGTCTGTCTGTCTATCTGTCCATCTATCTATCCATCTATCTATCTATCTATCTGTCTGTCTGTCTAGCCATCTATCTATCTATCTATCTGTCTGTCTGTCTGTCTATCTGTCTACCTGTCTATCTGTGGTGCAGTGTCATTCAGTGTAATGTAGCGTAGTGTAATGTACTGTAGCGTAGTGGAGTGTAGTGGAATGTAGTGTAATGTAGTGTAATGTAGTAGTGTAGTGTAATTTAGTGTAGTGGAGTGTAGTTGTGTAGTTGTAGTTGTACTGTTGTGGAGCGTAGTGTAGTGTAGTGTAGTGAAGTGTAGTGGAAGGTCGTGTAGTGTAGTGCAGTGTAATGTAGTGTAGTGTAGTGTACTGTAATGGAGTGTAGCGTAGTGTAATGGAGTGTAGTGTAGCGTAATTTAGTTTAGTGGAGTGTAGTGGAGTGTAGTTGTGTAGTTGTAGTTGTACTGTTGTGGAGCGTAGTGTAGTGTAATGTAGTGAAGTGTAGTGGAAGGTCGTGTAGTGTAGTGCAGTGTAATGTAGTGTAGTGTAGTGTAATGGAGTGTAGTGTAGTGTAATGTGTAGTGTAGTGTAATTTAGTGTAGTGGAGTGTAGTGGAGTGTAGTTGTGTAGTTGTAGTTGTACTGTTGTGGAGCGTAGTGTAGTGTAATGTAGTGAAGTGTAGTGGAAGGTAGTGTCGTGTAGTGTAATGTAGTGTAGTGTAGTGGAGTGTAGTGGAGTGTAGTGTAGTGTAGTGGAAGGTAGCGTCGTGTAGTGTAATGTAGTCTGGTGTAGTGTAGCGTAATTTAGTTTAGTGGAGTGTAATTTAGTGTAGTTGAGTGTAGTGGAGTGTAGTTGTGTAGTTGTGTAGTTGTAGTGTTGTAGTGTTGTGGAGTGTAGTGTAGTGTAATTTAGTGAAGTGTAGTGGAAGGTAGTGTAGTGTAGTTTAATGTAGTGTAGTGGAGTGTAGTGTAGCGTAATGTAGTGTAGCGTAGTGTAGTGTAATTGAGTGTAATTGAGTGCAGTGTTGTGTAGTGGAGTGTAGTGTAGTAGAATGTAGTGAAGGTGTAGTTGTAGTTGTAGATGTAGTGTAGCGTAATGTATTGGGGTGTAGTGTGGTGTAGTGGTGGTTGTAGTTAAAATGCTACAAAACCCTCACGTTTTGCTCACTTTTGACAAGGTGCACAATCCCTTGCGCCTGCCACGCGAAGCGACATCTGAACCTCCAAAAGTGGTCCGAACCCCTAGTGCTTTGAACATTTTGACTTGGAAATGTGCTTCGCGCCACAACGGCGTGCACTTTTTCGACATCTCACCTTCCAAAAGTGGTCTGAACGTGGTGTGTTTTGTACATTTTGACTTGGAAATCGCGCCACAACGGCGTGCACTTTTTCGACATCGCAACTTCCAAAAATGGTCCGAGGCTGAGGTGCTTTGTACATTTTGACTTCGAAATGTGCTTCGCGCCACAACGGCGTGCACTTTTTCGACATCTCAACTTCCAAAAGTGGTCCGACCATGTGTTTTGTGCATTTTGACTTCGAAATGTGCTTCGCGCCACAACGGCGTGCACTTTTTCATCTCTCATCTGGCCAGCTGGCTCCGCACCCGCCGCTGTAGCGAGCCTTCTTTTCGACCCTCCGGAGCCACAAATCATTGGAAAAACACAGTGTTTCGCGACTTTCCTACCTTTTCGCGCATCTGCATCTTTGACTCTTTCTCTTCTACTCTTCTCTCTTCTAATCTTTCTCTTCTCTCTGCCTCTGCCCTACTCTGCTTTTCATCTGTCCATATTGTCGGAAGTTTGACTTCTAAACTTCCTTCGATCATCACTATATAGTAGTATATAATCATGCAGCTGATTAACAACCCTGCTACTCGGATAGTAAGTGGAATGATCCTCGAAGTAGTGGGATGAAAGCATCGAAACCGGGGAGATGTGGGCGAGCATTGGATCAAAATTCTAGTGGAAATTACACAGATTGGTGAACCATGCAACTGCTACTGTGAAACGACCTAGGACACATGATATCAATGTTACACATTTTTTGCGAAATTCTTTTAATCAAGTGTGTGCGCAAGTGTGTAACACTGCATATATGATATACACGTGTGTGTACATATCATCCCTAGCCTCTATTTGGGCAAAGCACTGTAGTTCACAAACCCAAAGTAATGCCATGGCTCACCTGCAATTGCGGAGTGACAGAGGCTCCCAAGATGATCATGGTCAAACCCACAGGCACCTGACGTTTTTTTGGCTGCTTGGATCATGAAAGTTGCCATGAATAGAAGGTAGATACTAGTCGACATACACCTTAAACGTGGCCGCCAGGAATCCAAACCACCAACCCCACCAGTTGATTTGGTAGGCCACTATTGAAATCTGTTGGTTCTAAGAAGAAACAGCGATTTCACCACAGTTCACCAATCCCCACATATTGGGAATTTGTATTTTATTCCATCGCCCTCGCGTTTGAACGAATTCCTGGCTTAGTCCAACATTACCCTCATCTCTGAACTGATTCCCCCTTCGGAAACCAGTGATATTGATCCACACCAACTCTGATGTTCTATCTGACACATATTCTGACACTATATCTGGCATTGCGTCTGACATTCTATCTCGCGTTCTTTCTGGCATATATATATAATATATATATTATATATATATTATATATATATTATATATATATACATATTTTGACGTTCCATCTGCACGAGGGGGCGCCTTAACTATCGCCGTTTTGGGTTTTCAAAATCCGACTCAAATGTGCTTGTGAACCACGTCTGCTTAAGGCTCTTAACTCTGGCCCGTTTAAGGTCTCAACGCCGACTGTTTTGAACCAGGCCGTCTATGGAGCAAGCTCCAAATAGAGCCGGGCTCCATTTCCAAACAAAATCGGGCTCCATTTCCAAATAGAGCTGGTCTCCATTTCCAAATAGAGCTGCGCGCCATTCCAAACAGAGCCGGGCGCCATTTCCAAACAAAACCGGGCTCCATTCCATTTCCAAATAAAGCCAAGCTCCATGTCCAAGTTTCCAAATAAAGCCAGAGAACCGGGCTCCATTTCCAAATAGAGCTGCGCGCCATTCCAAATAGAGCCGGGCGCCATTTCCAAACAAAATCGGGCTCCATTTCATTTCCAAATAAAGCCAAGCTCCATGTCCAAGTTTCCAAATAGAGCCAGAGAACTGGGCTCCATTTCCAAATAGAGCTGCGCGCCATTCCAAATAGAGCCGGGCGCCATTTCCAAATAAAGCCGGGCTCCATTCCATTTCCAAATAAAGCCAAGCTCCATGTCCAAGTGTCCAAATAGAGCCGGGCTCCATTTCCAAATAGAGCCAAGCTCCATTTCCAAATAAAGCCAAGCTGATTTTCGAAGTTTCCAAATAGAGCCGGGCTCCATTTCCAAAAAAAGCCGGGCTCCATTTGCAAATAGAGCCGGGCCAGCCAGATACCCCCACATGCTGTCTCACTGCAGGTCCCAACGAAGGCAACAGCCCCGAGTCAAAATCACCTGAGCGATGACTGCTGCAATATGACCCTGGATTGAACGGACCTACCTGAAAAACAAGGAAGCTCTTATACAGTCTAAGTTGATGCAAGTCGCTGCAAATCAAACATGATAACGCGCCTAACTGCAGATCTGCACATGTTGACGTCCTGATCAACCCGAAGTGAAACCCCTAGGGCTGCGTCAACACCTAAATCCACTAAGCTGTTCTCTTCTTACAGTTCCACCCACAACTTTCAGTGCATGCACTTCAAGTATGCAACCTGCTTCAAACTTTGTGATAGAATCGGCGTTCGCATCTCGATGCATGCCTGCTGAAACATTCAGTACTTATGCATATGTTTGTTTCAACAAGCTGGTTATCGCTGCTGGTGGCTATCGCTGCTGGTGGAGTGGTGACCAGTTTGTCCACGAACTGCACTGGGTATGTGCTCCCTCGAAACGTTTGCAGATTGGCCAGTGATGGACACTGTAGGATTTTGATTTATGATGAAAACATATTGCTCCTATGGTTCGGAGATAAATATATGGCATTGGATTTGAGCTGATGATAGGAAGGGAATTGATCATCTTTTTTGGTCTTATTTCGAGCTTGTAGCTCCATTCGGAAATGAAGCCAGCGGCTCTATCTGGAATGGAAATGGAGCCCGGATCTATCTATTTGGAGCTTGTAGCTCCATTCGGAATCAAGCCAGCGGCCCTATCTAGGCGGCATGTGGTTCAAAACAGTCGGGGTTAAGACCCCAAAGGAACCAAAGCTTATGGCCCCAAAGGAGCCAGTTAAGAAAGAATAGTCGAGGTGAGAAAAAACGCAGTCGGAGTTAAGACGCCCTGTGTTCCAGGGACGATCTGGCAATCCATCTGGCAATCTGTTTGGCATTTTATCTGATTCTGACATTCTATCTGGCATTCTTTGTGCCTGACATCTGGCGCTCGCCGTTGAGGTCCAGCAGTGCCCACAGGCATCTGGCACTCACGGTTGAGGTCCGGCAACGCCCACTGGATCTGGAGCTCACAGTTAACACGGACTTGAAAATTCAATCAAAAACCCATAGCAATCCCCTGATTTTCCTGTGATCCCCACCAGGGGCCGTGAATGACCGTGAGGTCTGGATACCAAGCTGCCATTAGGAGGAGCCACAGATATTTGAAGCTGACGATGTAAAACTCCGCAATGGGGGCCATGATCGACTGCCAAGGCTCCACGAGTAGATCCATGGTTGACGAAAAAATGGTATGCTACAAATGCAACTATCAAACAAAACAAATTTCATATATTAAACCCCTTGATAGAAACATATTTAAATTGGGGGTCACGAGACTCAGAAAAGTTCATGTGGGGTACCAGGTACCACGTTTTTTAGCAAAAATTTACACCTCGTAAGTTTAACATCGAAGCTGAAGAATGGTGTCCCAGTTGCATGATTTCACCCTGTCTACTGTAATGGCCCAATTGTTGGGCTTCATTGTAAACATAGGGTTCCAGTCTGTAAAACAGTTACATATGTATATGCATATGTATATATATATATACATGTGTGTGTGACATGTGCTAGTATTATGGATATACATATATTATCATATATAATATAGCAATGGCATGAGTAGTATGTATGTCCACAAACAAATATATATATATATATATACACATACTACACATATACAAACTATTGCAAACTAATCACAGACAGCTGGGCGACGTCCCTAGTCTGCCGCCGAGGGGCCAAGGCGCCTGCCACGGGCAGCATCCACTTCCACACCCAGGTGCCACGCCGGCTGGTGAAGATTCCTAGAGGCTGAGGAATTATCCAGGCCATGTTTGATTGCCACTTCTTGATCCGAGGTTTTGATATATGTCTGGTTGATGGTTTTCTGGTTGGTGGTGCAATAACCGTCTTGAAAAATATGAGTTCGTCAATGGGAAGGATGACATCTCATATATGAAATGTAAAATGAAAGTGTTTGAAACCACCACCCAGTTTTGATATATGTGGATGACCATCTTTTCCAACTGAGGTAAAGTTTGAGCGATGGTCAAATTTCTATGGATCGGAGTTCAAGACTACACTGTTTTTAGCACAAAAGTTGCTAAAGTGGCTATGGATGTTCAGCCCCCAATTCAGATTGTCTCACAGTTATCACAGGTCTTGACGCATCCTCACGTTGCAGAGAAATACCTGTGCATTCCCTTTAGAAGCGTCGATCTATGTAGCTATCTTCCAGTCCCCGAAGGCATGGAGATCAATGCATCTTACCTGCATCAACCTCAAAAATCCTACTGCGGGGGCTGAGGTACATCAGCAGTCAAGAGTGGCTAAGCACATCAAACTCAGCACTTCAACCCTGGATCAACAACCATTCTCACCTTTGCGGGAAATTTTATTCCCCTGTAAATCATCAGCGGGGCAACCACTAGTGCTATCATCACTGTGGTTTTTGCAGTGGAGGGGCAAAGGGGCCCGAAACGTAGGTTTCCGACGTTGCGCTGTGACGCTCCTGGGGGCGGGTGGCGCTGCGACGCTGCGACGCTGCGACGCTCTGGGGGGCGGGTGGCGCTGCGACGCTGCGACGCTGCGACGCTGCCGTTGGGCCAGTGACGCTGCGGCGCTGTTGACGCTGCGACGCTGTGCGACGCTGCCGAGCCGCGGAGCGACGCGATGCTGCGACGCGAGGGCGATGCTGTTGGCGCTGCGACGCTGCGACGCTGCGACGCTGCGACGCTGCGACGCGGGAGCGACACTGCGACGCGGGAGCGACGCTGCGACGCTGTTGGCGCTGCGACGCTGCGATGCGGGATCGACGCTGCGACGCTGCAGGCGCTGCGACGCGGGATCGACGCTGCGACGCTGTTGGCGCTGCGACGCTGGGACGCTGCGACGCTGCGACGCTGCGACGCTGCGACCCGGGATCCACGCTGCGACGCTGTTGGCGCTGCGACTTGTGAAGACTCCGTAAAGAAACCCTAAAGAAACCCCTAAGAAACCCTAAAGAAACCCTAAAGAAACCCTAAAGAAACCCTAAAGACACCCCTAAAGAAAACCCCCCCCCAAAAAAAAAACCTAAAGAAACTCCTCAAGATACCCTAAACGGCAAATGCCTGCGCTTTGCCCGGACCCGCAATGACGACAGGAGACGCATCATCATCATCATCATCATCATCAGCACCGTCATAATCATCAAACCCATTTTGAAGATCTTCCATGAATGTAGAAGTTTAGCGCGGGTGGGAGAATTAAACCCTTCTTGAAGATCTTCAATGAATGTAGAAGTTTAACGGGGTGGGAGAATTAAACCCGTATTGAAGATCTTCAATTAATGTAGAAGTTTAACGGGGATGGGAGAATTAAACTCTTATTGAAGATCTTCAATGAAGGTGAGAATTAAACCCTTATTGAAGATCTTCAATGAATGTAGAAGTTGAAGGGGGTGGGAGAGTTACACCCTTAATGAAGATCTTCCATGAATGTAGAAGTTTAACAGGGGTGGGAGAATTAAACCCTTATTGAAGATCTTCAATGAATGTAGAAGTTTAACGGGGGTGGGAGAATTAAACTCTTATTGAAGATCTTCAATGGATGTAGAAGTTTAACAGGGGTGGGAGAATTAAACCCTTATTGAAGATCTTCAATGAATGTAAAGCTTGTTTAATATTCCCTGGTACCTTTGTTGATCTTCCCACTTGAATGTAAAGTTTAACGAGGGTGGGAGTTTAATATTCCCTAGTACCTTTGTTGTTTTTCCCATAGGAATTTTGTGAAGTTGCATCAACATTTGTTTGGGAATGGGAAGCCTCTACGCTGCAACGCCTGGGCAAAGCCCAGGCGTTGCGCGTAACAAACCCCTAAAGAAACCCTAAAGAAACTCCTCAAGATATATACCCCTAAAGAAACCCCTAAAGAAACTCCTCAAGATATATACCCCTAAAGAACCCCTAAAGAAACCCTAGAGACACCCGTAAAGAAACCTTAAACAAACCCTGCCAAAAAAAAAAACTTAAGAAACCCCTTATGAAACCCTAAAGAAACCCCTGAAGAAACCCTAAAGAAACCCCTTAAGAACCCCGTAAGAAACCCTAAAGAAACCCCTGAAGAAACCCTAAAGAAACCCTAAAGAACCCCCTAAAGAAACCCTATCAGGAAACGCTAAAGACTCCCTAGCGTGATGCTGAAGATGCAACATAGTCTTCAGAGGGGATGGCCGGGTTGATGTCTTGTGATGCTCAAGGTGCAACGTATTGTTCAGAGGGAGCGCGGGGCTGATGTCTTGTGATGGTGCTCAAGATGCAACATAGTGCTCAGAGAGGGTGGCGGGGCTGATGTCTCAAGGTGCAACGTATTGTTCGGAGGGGGTGGGGGAGTTGATGTCTTGTGATGGTGAAGATAGTGTTCAGAGGGGGTGCCAGGGCTACTGTCTTGTGACCCTGAAGATGCAACATAGTGTTCAGAGGGGGTGGCGGGGATGATGTCTTGTAATGCTCAAGGCGCAGCGTATTATTCAGACGGGGTAAGCGGATTTGATGTCTTGTGATGCTGAAGATGTGACATTTTTGTTTCGGAAGTTTTGGTTGCTGAATCGTGCATTCCGGTTCTTGAGTCGCACATTTGACCTTTTGTCTTTGGGTCGCCTCTTAGTTGGCTTTGGAATCGCGACGCGGTTTTGGTTGCTGAATCGGTCATTTTGGTTTCTACATATCGGTCATTTTGGTTTCTTAAATTGGTCATGCTGGTTGCTGAAGCGGGTTTTCTTGATTGTTGAAGCGGTCGGCGATCCTTATTCCTTTCATTCATTTCATTCGCGTCATTAGTTGGGCTTCTTGGCTTCTCGGCTTCTCGGCTTGTCCGGTGGCTTCTCGGCTTCTCGGCTTCTCGGCTTCTCGGCTTGTCCGGTGGCTTCTCGGCTTCTCGGCTTCTCGGCTTGTGCCGGTTGGCGGCTTCTCGGCTTCTACGGCTTGGTTCCGGATTAGCGGCTTTCTCGGATTCTCGGCTTGTTTCGTACTTCTCGGCTTCGTACTTCTCGGCTTCTCTTCTCGGCTTGGCTTTCGGCTGTTTCGTACTTCTCGGCTTCCTCGGCTTTGTCCGGTTTTCCCGGCTTCTCATTCGCTTCTTTTCGGCTTGTTTCGTACTTCTCGGCTTCTCGGCTTCTCGGCTTCTGGTCGCATTTCTGGGCCCCTTTTGCCCGTGCATTGGGTTTTTGGCACCCGCCACGTCGTGCACTTCTGGTGATCCGCACTTCACAAGCGTGCTGTGAAAGGATTCTCAAGTGTCAGGAGATGAACACTCAAAACAGTAATTTCTATTAAATTCTCAAGCCGACACCTACAAACGCAGTGCCAAATGAAACTACTCTCGCGACTGTCAATGGAAGAATGATTCAGTTATTGTCGAAGCATACCGACAGGAAAACACCGCTACCCCCTGGTAATCAAACATAGCAATGGAAACGGGAAATCCCCTTGCTGTAGAGGAGAATCATCTAAACATGGATATGTTTCCGGGGGATTCTCCAGGGATTGCGGAGGATGTCCTCACTGAGTTCCCCTTCAAAACCTACTGTGACTTACAGTTCTTTCTTGCTAAGGTCGAATGTCCCTATCGTTGCTGAAATGTGTAGATCATTCTGGGCAAATTACTCATTGCTACAAATATCCACAATATTCAAAAGCCTAAAAGCAAGCCAAAAAATTGTATAACTCTCAAAAACTGGAAGATACACCGTTGTTTTGCTATAATATCTATAGATATCTGCAATTTACAAACCTTTTTCCAGCTGCAAATCAGCCATGTCAAATCCCATTTGGGGGTGACTCCTCAGTGGCCAGTCCTCCTGCACAGCAAAAGCAACAGCTGGCAACTTCAACCAGAAGCATCAGAACTGAGCTGCGAGCGCGGCTGGATCATATGTGCACGTGCGTGGCATTGTGTGATGTTGTGTTCTATTACTATACTATGGTGTATATATATATATACATATATATATATATCATTTTTTGAGTTATATATCATAATGTCATAGTACATCATGCTATATCAGAGTATATCAAATAATAGTATATCATATTATTGTACTATGGTAAGTCAAATCATATTATACCACATAATTTCATTATTTACTACTAACTTGTATTTTACTGTGTCATTATATATTTTACTCCATTCCACTACATTACACTTTATCATACTATACAAAACTATATCATATTATATTATACTATATCATACTATATGATACTACAATATATTATATCATGTTATATTACATACCATACAGACTATACATACATGCTCCACAATAGATCGCCTCTCTATGTGTATATATATATATACACCATACTATATCATACAAACTATATCACACTATAAAAAATGTAGATATGCCATATTATCATACATAATTGTAGTATGTTGTAGTATATTATAGATTATTATGGTATATTATGGTATATTACTGGATAACGATGTACATTATAGTATATTGTATACTAGATTCTGTACTAGATTATATACTATCTTTCAAGTATACTAGATTATATGCTATAATAAATAATATATTCTGCACTACATTATATACTACATGTTGTATTATAATGCATACTACAATATATCCTGTGCTATCTACTATATTAAATACTATATTATACACTTCATTATCTACTTTATACAGACTGCATCATATACTGTGTGATATCCTATAATATATGATCCCGTCTTCCGCCCGCGAGGTCCCCCCCCATCCCCCCCCGAATGGGATGGGTCCCCAGGTAGCACCCCCATTTCCCTTCTATTTGCAAGCTATTGGCAGCATTTCTGAGGTCCAGCCTCGTATTTGCTAGGTTTTTGCAGCGATTCTGACTACCAGCCTCCCATTTACTAGGCTTTAGACGACCTGCGTAGCACACATACTCCCTCAAAGTACCTACGTGCTATCTATAGTTATATATACATGTGCTATGTATCTACTTATATATATATACATGTTATAGATACATACATATGTATATATATATATATATTCATATTCGTATTTAAATAAATAAATAAATAATAAATATATATATATACATGTCTATACTTATATATGTATATATACACACATACATACATATATTCACATATATATATAAGCAAATATATAATTATATATATATACGCAGTACCACACCCCCACCACACCACAGGGGGGCCGGGGAACATAGCTCCTGTATATCCATACCCATCCCTACTACTAACTACTACTAACTACTACTAACTACTACTAACTACTACTAACTACTACTAACTACTACTAACTACTACTAACTACTATTAACTACTACTAACTACTACTAACTACTACTAACTACTAATCCCCCCACCCCCCTACCCACCCACAGGGGGGGCGGGGAACATAGCTCCTGTATATCCATACCCATTCCTACTACTAACTGCTACTCACTACTACTAACTACTACTAACCCCCCCACCCCTACCCACCCACAGGGGGGGGCCGGGGAACATAGCTCCTGTATACCCATACCCATTGGGGGGGGAGAGGGGGGGACCTGGGAGGCTGCATCATATATACTATGGTGTATCCTGTGCTATATACTATATTAAATACTATATTACATAATGTATGATATACTGTACTGCAATATATGATATCATACACTATATTATATACTATATTGTATACTCTCTCATAAAGTATACTATATACTATATGATTTACTATATCAGAAAAAGTATCATATACTATACTATATACTATTTTATAGGATATCATGCATCATATTATGTAATGTATGTATTGCATCATATACTTTAAAATATATTATATGATACTATATTATATACCATGTGGTACTATAGTATACTATATTAACCATACATATTATGTAGTATTTAAAAATTGCAACATATCATATGACAATTAATGTAATATATCATATACTATATTGCATTTTATATGATACTATATTGTACACTACATTATATACTATACTGTTTACTTTATTGTTTACTAGATTACATCTTATATATTTTAATATTTTTTGATGCGTTTTATTAATCTGTAGAATATAACGTGATATCATATCATGTCATCTTGTTGTACATTATGTAATACCATACAACATTTTATCATACTGTGGTGTACTATATTGTGCTAGATTATATCATATACTTGTATACTGCAATACTTTCATATCGTAGCGTATCAAAACCATGCGGTGTCATATTATAGGTGTGTGTGTGTCTGTGTGTGTGTGAGATGTACATGTGAATACAAGAACAATAGGGGATCCCTTGATGTATTTTGTTGAACTATTTCATGATCCACTATGCTAGTTCAATTGGGTATATTCAGTTTGTCAAAAAGTAATCCTCAACTGCTATCAGGTATGGACATGATTCTGTACTTCCACACAGAAGAGATTACATCCAAATGTTCTCGCGACAAAAGGGACTGGGTTTTGCCCCATCCAAGAAAACAAGTCCATCAGCCGGATAAGAAAGCAATGGGTGTGAACAGGACTCCAACACGCTCAACCAACAAAACACACTTGCAACATCTTGCAACTTTGTAGACAAATCTAGTGGATCAAAACCTCAGCCCGTTTTTTTGAGGGGACACTCAGCCGGCCCAGCCCTGCAGTCATTTTGGCAGATCAGCAACTCCCCAGAAACACCAGCTTCGCGCCGTCATTCATAGGGTATTCCTTGGACGATGCGGCTGTCAGCCATGATACTGAATATGTAGATGCCGTGGTATTCTTCTTTTGGATTTGTGAAGAGCATCTGAGAAGTCCACAAATGGAGTTTCTACATCAATGGATTGTGACCTCTGGAAAAAATTGTAAGTCCTAAGTCAACCCCAATAGCTGTTGTGACATGCTAAACTTATAATTTTTCACAATGTGTATACTTAAAAACTGCTGCAGGCCCTGTGTTGTAGCAGCTGATCAAAATTATTTAGCTGATGCGTTCTTGGAAAACCACCAAGTCTGCTACAGCCATCAAATGAGACCCAACAATCAATAGCAATTAGCGTGGTAAACCCAATAATAAACCGTCCCTCATGTTGATATAGATGGGTGGCAAAAACCATCCCCAAATGGTAGGTTTATTGTTCGGTTTACCACATTATCAATGATTATGAGGCCAGGCTAACCAAAATGAAGTGAACACTGCAAGACTTGGGACATCCCTCGGTCGTATCTTCTTATTCTGGCCGCATCTCTGAGGTCTGACATCTGATATGGGGGCGTTTCTTGAAATGAAGGCATGGTAAGAACAAACCGCTGCCGAATTCTGCAGGACATAAACCATCTCAGAGAGATTGGAAGTTGGGGCCAGGATATCCTTCCAAGTCAAGGGATCCACCCCCACATGTTGAAATCCCCCGCAACGAAGGCCCTCGTTGACGGATCGGCTAAGGGGCGGGGCATGAAAATTCCACCGCGCTTCCTTCATGGATGTCTCCCTCAGAATTTCGGAGATCCCAAAAGCTGGGCAGGTCGATTGGGAAAATGATCATGATATCTGGGCTAGAAATTTTGTACTTATCTATTTCATGGAATTTGGACATGATAATATCAGGCCAGAAATTACCTCCCACCAACTCGGACAGGTACAACTGACCCCCAAATATCGGGATCGGTCAACATTGCACTGCAAGTAGAGGAACAAAAAACTAAAAAATGCTAAACAATGTTGAATGGTAGTCAAAATGACCTTCAAGGGCTTCAGGTCAAGCTCAGCTCCCATTTGAGTTTGGATTTCCCAGCTATACTGAATTAGAGGATGTTCAGTTATTGGAAAAGTATACTGGCCTAATATTTCACATGGCTGAAATGTTGGAAATTGTGGGCCATTTGGGTGCGACTCCCCATGTATAAGCCATGATTCCAGCGAGGTCACGACGTGAGGTCACGACGTGAAGTCACTATAATTTTCCTAGATGCTATGACTGTGGTTGTGTGTGGTTTCTACAGGTGTTAGAACAAAACCTACATATGTATTTATATATATATATCTGTACATGTTTTATGATGTACTTTGCTCAAGGAAGTTTAGAAGTCAAACTTCCGACAATACGGACAGATGAAAAAGCAGAGGTGGGAAGAGTCAGAGCAGAGAAGAGCAGAAGGGAGAAGATCAGAGAAGAGAAAGAGTGAGAAGAAAGAAGATGCAGGTGCGCGAAAAGCTAGCAACGTCGCAAACACTGCATTGTTCCAATGTTTTGTGGCACCGGAGGGTCGAAAAGTAGGCTCGCTAAAGCGGCGGGTGCGCAGCCATGTGGCCAGATGAGAGATGAAAAATTGCACGCCGTTGTGGCGCGAAGCACATTTCCAAGTCAAAATGCCCATAACACACCAGGTTCGGAGCACTTTTTGAAGTTGAGATGTCGAAAAAGTGCGCGCCGTTGTGGCGCGGAGGATGTTTCGAAGTCAAAAGTGGAAAAACTGCGGGTTCGGACCACTTTTGGATGTTCGGATGTCGTTTTGCGTGGTGGGCACAAGGGATGCTGCACTTTGTCAAAAGTGAGAGAAAATGTTCTGTAGCATTTTATGCTACAACCGCCACTACACTACACTCCACTCCACTCCAACTACATCTACAACTACAAGTACATTACACTACACTAATTACATTACACCCCACTCCACTCCACTCCACTCCACACCACTACACTAACTACAACTAGAGCTACAACAACAACAACAACGACGACGACGACGACGACAACAACTACTACTACGAGGACAACAACAACAACTACTACTACTACTACCACCACTACACTACACTACACTAGACTAGACTGGACTATTTTACACTTTTTTTACACTATTTTACACTACAACACACTACACTACCACTACCACTACCACTACCACTACCACTACCACTACCACTACCACTACCACTACCACTACACTACACTACACTACACTATATTACACTACACTATACTTTACTACACTACACTCTATTACGCTACACTATACTATACTATACTACACTTTACTACACTACACTACACTACACTAACAACAACAACTACAAGGACAACAACAAAGACAACTACAACGACAGCTACAACTACACTACATTGCACTGCACCACACTGCGCTACACTACACTACAATACACTACACCACACTACACCACACCACACCACACTACACTAGACTAGACTACACTACAGCACGCAACACTACTGCACACTACACTACACTACACTCCATTACATTGCACTACGCTACATTGCACTACGCTCATTACACCACACAACAACTACAACTGCAACTGCGCCATGCTAAGTACACTACACTACAACTAGAGCTACAGCTGCACTACACCACACTACATCCAGCAGTTGTGGGGGAGGTGACCACTGCAACCATTGCAACCACTCCAAAAAAACACAACTCCAACCACCTTTCGGTCCATCAGTGGATTTGCTCTGCCATCCATGCATCACAACAACTCATCTCTCCTATAGTGTCCTATCTTTGACACTTCCGCCACCGCCTTGTGCGGTACTACTGGTATTATGTGTATATATATATATATGTTAAAACAAATGTTGTATATAAAATGTTGACTGGAAACCACATAACCTTCATTTTGGGGTTGGACCCTCGTTGTTGTGACTTATTGCACGTCATTTGGGTGAATGGGGTGTATGATGGTTGCTACTCCGCCCGAATCTCGTCTGAGCCTTGCTATTACTGTAATGGTGAATAGTGTTGCTCGAACAAAAGCGTTACAGAACTTACATAAGTAGTGTTGATTCATCTGATTCAATTTCAATCTACCTCAACTATAAGCTATACCCATCTTGATTCATCGAGATTAACATAAGCCAATCATCATAAATAAATTTATCTTCATGGCGTTCCTATGCTGCTTCCAGGTTTGCCAGATTGGCAATATTGAAAACACATCTACAGCTGCCCTACTGGATCTCGCACGAAACTCTCGCACAAAATCGACTTCAAGCATGGAATACAAACTTCCAGCTTTCATATCTGGCAGATTGGTAGAGTCTGGGTTAGTATATCTGCCATATCTACATGATGGGATCATACTATACCTACCGAAAGAATCCAGATCTGGCAGATTTCTGTGGATTTTCCTGGTTCCATTTCCGATGCCTGGGACGTTTGACGAACTTGACAGAAAAACCTTTAGCTACGCTGGTACTCTACTGTTCACATGGCACCAGCAAATCTATGTGGGTAAAACCCCATCAGTTGTCATTCTTTAACCCTCCCGTGGTTTGTTCAGTCAACCCCTCATCAATGGTTGCGTATGGCGCCACCAAGCCCATCAGTTGAAACATCTTGGTCTGGTTTTTTCCTATCAAAAGTAGAAATCAGAATCAGTTGGGTATGACACTTAAAACTATGGATATACATATTACAATATTAATGTTCATATTACATCACTTAGGTCACTTAGGTCACTTAGGTCACTTAGGATCAGAATATACCCAAACAAAAGGATTCTCAATACAACAAGCCAAAAAGACCGCAGAATCATGTAGAATCCCTTGTCCAAGTTTCTTGAGCCTCATGTCTACCCGAAGGATGCCCCGCCTGGTCCTTGAACCACTGCGCTTCCAAGATCTCACTGGGCCTTGGCCGCTGAGTCGGATCGCTACTCAGGGCCCTCAAGAGCACCCCATCGAAGCCTGGCGGCGACCCGACCCAAAGTTGCCGTTGTGCTCCATGGGTTTTAATGGTTTCTTAATGGTGTTTTGTTGATGCTTTGGAACATACTTCAAAGCAAAATCCGGAATAGTTCCTAGAGGTTGTTGATAGCTTTTGGCGGTGGCCACTGGTGAAAATGCTATCAGAAAACGGGATGATTGAATATTTCTGAGTAGTGTGCCACGTTAGTCTGTTGCGCTTGATGATTTCAGCATTTCACAGAAGGAACGAGTAGGACTCGAAATGGGCCATTCCTGAAACCCGGTCAAGCACCAAGAATCAATGTTTGTTTCATGTCGCTTCCCCGGTTGCTTCAACATTTCCAAACATAGGCAATCTGAGCCGTATGATTTCTTTCATCATTGCCATTGTCATTACCATCTGTTGGTTAAATGAGGCCAACAATCTATAGCCCATGGTGGTTGATTGACCTTATCATTGGCTTCGATTTTCAGTACTGTTGGTAAAGCACTAGGATCCATCCACAACCCCCATTTTTACGATGAATGTGTGGTACAAACCATCATTTGTTTAGGGTGGTAACCCGTATTGCTTTAGTAACATTATGTTTCATGGATGCAACCAATGTGCAAAAATTGAGCAGCAGTCGCGTGCGTGTCATCGGACTCGATTTTCGGACTCGATGAAGGACATTGGAATCGTGCGGTGATTTGACGAAGAACAGAGGCGGTCACAAAGGAAAGTGTGAAGGTAATGATAGTGATGATCATCGGTCATAGAATAATTGTCACAGTAATTCCGGCAATTGTTCTATTTAATAACAATATGATATATGTATGATATATGTATGATACATGTATGATATATGTATGATAGATGTATGATATGTGTATGATATGTGTCTGATATATGTATGATATATGCATGATATATGTATGATATGCGTATGATATATGTATGATATGTGTGTGATACATGTATGATATATGTATGATATATGCATGACATATGCATGATATGTGTATGATATGTACGATATATGTATGATATATGTATGATCTATGTATGATCTATGTATGATATATGTATGATATGTGTTTGATATGTGCATGATATATGTATGATATATGTATGATTTATGTATTATCTATGTCTATGTATGATATGTGTTTGATCTGTGCATGATATATGTATGATATATGTATGATATATGTATGATTTATGGATTATCTATGTCTATGTATGATATATGTATGATATGTGTATGATATATGTATGATATATGTATGATATATAACAATAAGAATAGTTCATGGAGAGAACAAATCGAAACAAACATGTGTAGGTTGCCATTCATCATCATCATCATCCCCTGTCCCGGCCGATATTCGTGTGCTGTTCGATGCAGACAGCTTTGTCTCTGCTGGTCGACGCAGACTGCAGACTGTCTGGAAAAAAAACGAAAGTCAGTTACGATTATCACCAACTAGAAATGAGTATTCTCAGTTGATTATGATATACACCAACATGATAATCACCAAAAAAAACAGTCATACTTGACAAAAAATCATTGAAACCGCCAGCTAGCAATGAGTATTCCGTTGGATTCCCAGTAAATCACTATCACAAAAAACATCATCAAAGAACAGCCGGGCCGGCCCCAACGGTGCCCAACGGTGCTCAACGGCGCAACGCGCCTGTGGCTATCCATTGGTCCAACAATGTCCAAAAGAAGGGCGAGGGATTCGGGGTTCCCAACTGCAACCTCAGTGACTCTGGCCGCTTTCCAAACACCGGAAAAGGATTCAAACAATTGGGAAGAATACGCCTTCGATCATGGGATATTCCAATATTGATCATGGTGTTTGGAAGGGATCTTCTAAACAATACACCAATGATCTTTTTTTCCAGATCTGTTTAGAAGAATATGCCTTCGAATGGGAAATGACCATTGGAATGGCAGTCCCATCGGTGCGCGCGAAGGTTGCACATTGACGACCGATGTTTGCGTATTGACGTGATATGAAGAAACTTGGACGCACATTCACGACGGCAATTCGATCCCACTGGGTGTCGCCACGTCTAATCTTGCAAGTGAATGTTTGATGCGTAGCTATGCAAGTGTAGAAATTGGGTTTCGCAGATGTATTGAGATTATGATATGATTATCCCATGAATTCATTTTGTTTTCCCTATTCAATCACCATTTCTGTGGGATTTTTCCGGCTGCCTCCAGTTTTTTTATCCCTCTCCGAGGCTCGTCCGCATCACGATTTTTCCCCGAATCGGAAACTGGCGACAGTTCACCAGCCCCGCCAGGGCAGCTTTGCGCTCCTCGCCATGCATCCCTGGAGAAGCCATGGAGCTGCAGCGTTTTTCAGGAAACGATGGGCTTTTGTTGGGTTACACATGGTTATAATATGTTATAATAACCAGTGCAGTATGTTTCCAGCAATGGGCGGGAGACAAAAAAAACAAGTGCTGGTAGGAGAAGAAAAGAAGAGCTTCACAATCGGTTTGTTGGAGCCTGTGCAAGGTGGAAAATGAAGAAACGATCCAGGGTTTTCTGAGCATATTATACTATTTTACTGAGTCCAAGAGAGAGGGAGAGAGAGAGAGCGAGAGAGAGAGAGAGAGAAAAAAAAAAATCTTCTGGGAAAACTATTGATATGTCCCAAACATTTCCAAACCACATTGAAATTCGGCCATTTCGGTGATTTTCCCCCCCCAAATTCCCAACTGGTGAGGTCATGACACTCTGCCATGACACTCCGGGAATTGATGATTGGTTCTGGTGGGGAAGTATAACCCAATAGTTACTTCATAGTAGTTGATATAGTTTATGATCAACTGAATCCAGATAGTTCATTCATAATGTTGGCTTACTTCATTGCTAACACTCAAGTCAAACTCCAGCTAGTTCAATGATTACAGCAACACCCGAAAAAATATAGAAGCTTCAATTTACCACTATGGCAAAAGTAGGATGTTAGCACTTGCTATCTATTTGGGGATTATTGGTTCATGTAATGATTCATATGACCCAGGTCCGAAAAACACTCCAGCTACGATGAGGACCTTGGATGATGTTCACCTCGTCGGATCCCCTGTGGATTTGTTGAAGCCATCTAGAAAAACCCATAGTTCATATATGATTTCATCAGATTTTTTGGGGGCATATTCCATTCACCTGGTGGGATGTATATATATATATATAATGATATATCTATATATATAATGATATCTCTATATATATAATGATATATATAATGATATATATATATATATATAGATAGATAGATTATATGCCATTCGCCTGGTGACTTTTTCACCCATTTTTTTCAACGACCTTTGAGCACCGGCACCCTTTCCGGGCTTTCCAAGCTTTCCGCGCCTTGAATCGCCTCCAACCTCTCGGTGTTCAGTTTGGTGAACTCCTCACTGGAAATATCCTGGACAAGGTCAGACACCAAGGGGGTCACCGTTCGGGGATTCCCAGGGGGATTTCCATGGGGGTTTCATGGAAATGCAATAAGATCAATAAGGAATAAGAATGATTGGGGATATACAGTACAACATCATAATGCTTTGGGTCTGTCCAAAAATAGGTATGGACACCAAGATGGATCAATATAGAACAGTTTTATGGGAAAAAAATGGAGGAGTGCCCTATCTTAAGACAAACAAATATCTGGCTCAATCATATATTTCACCAATGATCCCTGGTACTCACACCACCATGTTGGTGGCACGGTGGTGAGGATATCGTAATTCATCCAAGATGTAACATATGGGGATGCAACTAGCCAATAGTTGCAGGGCTAGCTTTTGGATGTGCATGGTGCTACATGGGATGGGGGCAAGCCATCAGCAGCTGCTAGGAAGGCATGGAACACATGGTCGGTTGGTGAACAGCCGAATAAGGCTGTCATTTCGAAGCAAAACGCACCTTGGAACACTGAAAAACTTTCCACATGCCCAAAAAAAAACTCAAATAGCGGTTGTAGGCTCATAACCTATCACAATATCGGGATCATCATCTGTTTTTTGGGGACGGGATGGAAAGCATTGGAAACCCAACTTTTAACCTGGCCGCAAAAGCCCTGCGGTTCAAGGCTCCCCAATGCAGGCGTAGAAGGCGTTCGAAAAAGCAGCGGCCTGGCTACAAAAAAAAATTGGTTGCGATTGCAACCCCTCGAAATGGTGTGTTTCGGCAGAGGTGAATTGGAGCTCCAACAAGATGACATCCCAGCCATCCCAGGGCACGTTTTGAGATCAACGTCACAGCTGCCAAGATCCTGATTTCCTCGCATAGCAACGGGAACATGTTGAGGCAATCCGAAAATCATTCACCAAAAGCTCATGTTTAGGAAGGATGCCCCACATTGATAAGGAGTTCTCATTCAAAGCATCACATCCCAGTGAAGCTGTTTGAGGCCAGCTTGGACATGACATGCCCATAACATAAACATACGTACATACATACATACATACATTAATTACATACATACATTAATTACATACATACATACATTACATTACATTACATTACATTACATTACATTACATGACATACATACATATATATATATAATGTTGGATCCTGATTAGTGGGTGGATCCGCTATTGTGTCAAGTTTTCCAAAATAATTCAGGATCTGTGGAATTGATTGGGGGCGTCGCTATGGTGTATTTTTTTGGGGTATTTGCAACAAGTGGGGGCCTGTCAAACAATTTCACATCTTCATATCTTCTCATCCTCACATCCTCACATCTTCACATCTTCTCATCTTCACATCCTCACATCTTCACATCTTCTCATCTCCACATCCTCACATCTTCACATCTTCTCATCTTCTCATCTTCACATCTTCTCATCTTCACATCCTCATCACATCCTCATCACATCCTCACATCTTCACATCTTCTCATACATCCTCACATCTTCACATCTTCTCATCTTAACATCTTCCCATCTTCACATCACATCTTCACATCTTCTCATCTTCACATCCTCACATCTTCACATTCTCTCTTGCCCTCTTGCTCTTGCCCTCTTGCTCTCTTGCCCTCTTGCTCTCTTGCCCTCTTGCTCTCTTGCCCTCTTGCTCTCTCCTTCTTTTCTTATTTCTCTCTTGAAGGCGCGGGGCAGTGCCAACGAGACGGCACGAAACGCAACCCTTTCGCACGAAACGAGGTTCGATCGCCAAAAACTGAGGAAAAATTGCGATCTGCAACGCGTCCGGCAAACCATTTCGCACGCAATGAGGTTCGATCGCCAAAAACTAAAGTAAAAATGCGATTTCTCGCATCCGGGCGCAACCCTTTCGCACGGAATGAAGTTCGATCGCGAAAACCTGAGGAAAAATTGCGCTCTGCAGCGCGTCCGGCAAACCATTTCGCACGCAATGAGGTTCGATCGCCAAAAACTAAAGTAAAAATGCGATTTCTCGCGTCCGGGATCGTCCGGGCGCAACCCTTTCACACGAAATGAGGTTCGATCGCCGAAAACTGAGGTAAAATTGCGATTTTCATCTGCACGTGTCCGAGCGCAACCTTCTTACACGAAATGAGGTTCGATCGCCAAAAACTGCGGTAAAATTGCGATTTGCAAAAGGTCCGGCGAACCCTTTGCATCAAATGGTTCGAGCGCTAAAAACTAAAGTAAAGTTGCGATTTCACGGGTCCGGTCGCGACCCGTTCGCACGAAATGAGGTTCGATCGCCAAAAACTGATGTAAAATTGCGATTTTGAAGCGTCCGGCGCAACCCTTTCGCTTCTACGTGTAAAAATATCTGTGTGTAAAAGCTTCTGTCTGTAAAAGCGCCTGTGTGTAAAAAGCGTCTGTGCGTAAAAGCCTCTGTGTGTAAAAGCGTCTGTGTGTAAAAGTCTCTGTGTATGAAAGTGTTTGTGTGTAAAAGCGTCTGTGTGTAAAAGTGTCTGTGCGTAAAAGCTTCTGTGTGTAAAAGCGTCTGTGTGTAAAAGCGTTTGTGTGTAAAAGTGTCTGTGTGTAAAAGCGGCTGTGTGTAAAAGTGTCTGTGTGTAAACGCGTCTGTGTGTAAAAGCGTCTGTGTGTAAAAGTCTCTGTGTGTGAAAGTCTCTGTGTGTAAAAGCTTCTGTGTGTAAAAGCGTCTGTGTGTAAAAGCGTCTGTGTGTAAAAGCTTCTGTGCGTAAAAGCGTCTGTGTGTAAAAGCGTCTGTGTGTAAAAGTGTCTGTGTGTAAAAGCGTCTGTGTAAGAGCGTCTGTGTGTAAAAGTGTCTGTGTGTAAACGCGTCTGTGTGTAAAAGCGTCTGTGTGTAAAAGTCTCTGTGTGAAAGTCTCTGTGTGTAAAAGCTTCTGTATGTAAAAGCTTCTGTGTGTAAAAGTGTCTGTGTGTAAAAAGCGTCTGTGTGTAAAAGCGTCTGTGTGTAAAAGCGTCTGTGTGTAAAAATTGTCTGTGTAAAAGCGCCTGTGTGTAAAAGCATCTGTGCGTAAAAGCTTCTGTGTGTAAAAGTCTCTGTGTATGAAAGTGTATGTGTGTAAAAGCTTCTGTGTGTAAAAGCGTCTGTGTAAAAGCGCCTGTGTGTAAAAGTGTCTGTGTGTAAAGGCTTCTTTGTGTAAAAGCGTCTGTGTTGGAAAGGGTCTGCATGTAAAAGCTTCTGTGCGTAAAAGCTTCTGTGTGTAAAAGCTTCTGTGTGTAAAAGTGTCTGTGTGTAAAAGCGTCTGTGTGTAAAAGCGTCTGTGTGTAAAAGTGTCTGTGTGTAAAAGTCTCTGTGTGTAAAAGCGTCTGTGTGTAAAAGCTTCTGTGTGTAAAAGCGTTTGTGTGTAAAAGTGTCTGTGCGTAAAAGCTTCTGTGTGTAAAAGTCTCTGTGTTTGAAAGTGTTTGTGTGTAAAAGCGTCTGTGTGTAAAAGTGTCTGTGTGTAAAAGCGTCTGTGTGTAAAAGCTTCTGTGTGTAAAAGCGTCTGTGTGTAAAAGTCTCTGTGTGTAAAAGCTTCTGTGTGTAAAAGCTTCTGTGTGCAAAAGCGTCTGTGTGTAAAAGGTGTTGTATGTGAAAAACTATACGAAGGATACGATGCAAACTTTTGTCTTGTAATTGTAAAATGTTGTCTTGATACTACTCTTTTCGTCCGCCTATAATAGATCTTTAATATATTGTCTTGTAATATAGCGTCTCAATACTAACAACAGAAGACCCTGCTCCTCTACGCTCTCGGGCCATCCGTCGTCTAGTTTCATAAAAAAAACAGTTTTTTATTACCCAATTACTATGTTTCAGTTTTTTGAGTTTTTAAAGAGCAATATTGATCCTAAATAATATGTTTGTTGTGGGGTTCCTCTATTGTGTCCAGCTGTTGTCTGAAGATTTTTTTTAAGGTTAATAATAACCCATCAGCAATAATTAATTAATTAATTAATTAATTAATTAATTAATTAATTAATTCTATACATACATATGCATATACGTATACGTATACATACGTATACCTATACGATCATACCATCAACGATACATATACATATACATATGCATATATACATATAGTGTGTTATGTAATTATATATACGGCAACTACATTTAAATATACAGATTTCTAAATATACGAACAGGTATTTTAGACTACCTCCGGGAAGGTTTTCCTTGGCCCGCCCAGCCATTTAAACATACGGAATCCAATTCATTTAAACATACTGTAACTACATTTAAATATACGAACTGGTATTTCATACTACCTCCGGGGCCTCGCGGTTTGGCCTGCCCTCCGCATATTTAAATGTCGTTACCGTATATATACATACGTGTGTGTGTGTGCGTGTGTGCATGCACGCCGTACATCTGTATAGAGTGTATTTATACGTGTATATGCTCACTTCACATATATTATGTAGAGTATAGGTTTGTATGTGTATACATGGATACATCTGCTGCTAAGAGTTCATCATTGTGGAGAAAAGTTACATGTGGCTGTCTCGTGCACCAATGAAAATGACAAGAACCACCTACCAACTCCTTGCAGGTGCATCCCATGTAAGCGGGTAAAATTAGAACCCAGGCATATATGAATGATATTATTTATATATCTCTGTGTGTGTATGTATCAAGATCCAATTACCAGCCAACTTACAGTATGAAAAGGGGCATGACATGTCGGTTTGGATCAAAAGTCAGGCGTTTGAAGACCCATTGTCCCACAGACTCGGGTCAGGCTTCTTGCATTTTAGTGCGGCACAGCCGAGCTTGACCTCTACACAATTTGGGTATGGGTCGAAATAAGGTAACAATTTGGTATAAAGATTGGTATGTTATGGCAGAAACAAGAGAAATTGCTGGAAACTAACCTCAAAACAACCGTGGTTCGGTCAACAAAAAGATCCCCTTTCCCCGTGCCCTTCTCCTGGCCTTGCTGCTCTTGCTTTGCGGGTCACTGGCTTCCTGTTCATCGAGAAACGTGGAGAATTCGGCCACAAAATTGGCTGCAGCTAACGGGAAATTGTGACATGGCCATGGAAAATCATCATGCTGCTGGGTAAATCATCTATTTCGAAGTCGGGCCATGTTCAAAAACGCGATGCTAAGTTTTATCAAAAGGTCATCTTTATAAAAGTTACGTGACATCGGGCCAATATTTCGAGGTGGTCACCAACGCTGGCGTTTCTATATGGAATGGTTTCCCCCTGTCGCAATCTGCCAAGATTTTTGTTTGGTATTAGAACTATACGTCATTTCTGGCAACCAACATCAATAAACTGTACAAACATATATATATAATCAGTAATTATATATTGTAATTTTATCAATTATATTGATATATAGCACCTAAACTATCCAACATATTCTAAACATATTAATTGTCTGATTTATAAGTACGAATTGGTTTTATGTACTAATGGTTCATGTGTATATATATATATGTATACATAATACTCTAGAAATGAAAGTGACACTCAACTTCTTCGCAGCTGGAAGGTTGGGCCCTGTGGGGATGGCCCTTTGGAGAACCAGCCCTGGGAAAATCAACGCGATTTTTGTCGTCGACGTAGACAAGTAACCATGGCAGACCATGGCATGCAAAGGCAAAGGATATAACTATATATATGTGTGTGTGTTGGGATATAACTCTATATTATATATATATTATAGAATATATATAGGTTATATATAGACTATATATATAGATTATATATAGATTATACATATATTATATATAGATTATATATATATTATATAGATTATATATCGATTATATATAACTAACATGAACTAACTATGTTGGAACCATAACCAACGTCCTCCAGTCATACCAAAAAACCATCTGTCAACGTTGGGGCCTTTTGGGCGCAGTGGATGGCCCGGGCCAAGAACTGAACCTTTACCATCGCATGCTGCACGATTCTCGGCGGCGCCGTTTCAGGAGGAAAAGCCATGGGTATCTCATGGGTTTCTTGAACGCACCGCTTCAGCGATGTTTTTTGGGGCATTTCGTTGAGGAAACACTCAAAGTCACGAGATGTCACGAGAAATAAGTTAGTGCTTTGGAGATGGTAAAATACCATGTTTCACCATCCAAATCTATCAAAATAGGAGGTTTGCCAAGTGTTCTGGAACTGCCATTACGTGGTTGGATGCAAGCAACATGTTTTGGTGGAGTTGGCGCCACCAATAGTGAGATATCCAGACTATTCCAGGTTTTAATTGTAGTGTCCATCGATTTACATCTTACCCATCATTTTTTGCAACCGCTCCAGGCAAACACAGAACCAAGAAATTATATGAAATTAGTAATGTTTCCAGGACATGCTGTAGGAGGGACATCGTTTCTGGAGTTTGACGTCAGTTTTCAGGTGAGTACCCGTTATGACATTTGCCACAAATACCCAGAACCCATGACTCTTCCTGACTGGATTCACTTAAAGCAGAAGTATGGAATGTGAGATGCACATAAATCTCCCACAATTGGTGCCCCACAACTTCTTGCCTACATTGTTTTTTTTGTGTCCTTTGTTCTTTTCAAACACTAAACCTATAAACATACCACGATCCTCCCATTGCTTGTGGTTTCAAGTCTGAATCGAACACGTGTCCGCCATGGGGTCATGCGTTTTTCCAAACAAAACGGTGCAACCAATCATAGAATTTTCTCAGCAAAGTCGTCAGAGGAAACCTCGAAAAAATGGGTCTGGTGTCTGGTGTCCTCCCAATTTTCCCTTCAACCAACCCATTGCAAAGAATCCAATCCATTCGTTGGTGAAATCCCCCCGTTTCCCTTTAACCAATGGAAACCAAAGGTCTCTTGCATGTAGTAGGTGTAATAGGGAAGTGTTGGGACACCCATCACCTCTGAGGCGAGGGATCCTGTCAGTTTGTCGAAAAACATATGGGAGCTAAGGGAATTACCCTCGACTCTACTCTCACATAGCTATGGAAAACTACCATTTCCAATCTTTATCCCGGAGCAGATCGAATTTGCATTCATGACCCCCCAAGTTCACAATGTATTATACATATAAAATATTATATTATATCATATTATAATTATATTGTATGATATTATATTATATTGCATTGTATTGTATTATATTATGTTATTACATTATATCATATTATATTATATTGTGTTGTATTCTATCATATGGTATTGTATTGCATTGTATTATACTAATTTGTATGATATGATATGATATTGCATTGTATTATATAAAATGTTATGATATGATATGATATTATATTATAGTATATTATATTCTACTTTATATTGTATTATAACTTGTATGATATATTGTATTAGAGAGCGGCAGGCTGTGGGAGTGCGCTGTTTCATACGTTTTGATACCAAACCCTGCTCTTTCCAAAACCAAACATTGTTGCTTCTGTAACAAAAGCAACCACTGTGCATTCTCAACAGCTCTCCCAATGTCCTACATAGATACATAGTTTCAGCCAAAACAAACATGAATAATAAATAAACGCAGCAAAACAAACAAGTGCAAATGCCTTTCCAAACGGTGCAGCATTGCTTTAAGAATGTATAGACCCTACATCTCTACAGGAGTTTCCCTCAACATATGCAATAGTCTTTTTGGGCATGTGCATTCTAAACAGGCACCAATTTATGCAATATGTTCTCTATAAACAATGAAGGAAAAATAAATTACTTTACTTCGAGTGATCCCCATCCTGGCATTTCAAGTCATATATTCTGACATATATTTTGACATTTTACCTAACATTCTATCTGACATCTATTCTGATATTCTATCTGGCATATCTTCCAGCATTTTATCTGGTATATATGTTGGCGTTCTATCTGGCATATATTCTGGCAATCTATGTGGCATTCGTTCTCGCATATATTTTGGCATTCTATGTGACATTCTATGTGGCATACTTTCTGGCAGTCTATCTGGCATATATTCTGGCATATATTTTGGCATTCCATCTGGCCGCTGAGGTCCAGCTCGGCCCACTGAGCTCGGAAGGTCCCAGGTTGAGGTCCAGCGGTGCCCACTGGGCTCGAAAGGTCCCTGGTTGAGGTCCAGCCGTGCCCACTCAGATCGGAAGCCGGCAGTTGAGGTCCAGCAGTGCCCACTGCGCGCGGAAGTTGGCGAAGAGATTGGCGAAGAGTTGGCAAGGCGGAAGTGGACATGGAAGTGGAGGCAGAGGTGGTGGAGGAGAAGGAGGAGGACGAGGAGGAGGAGGAGAATAAGGAGAAGGAGAAGGAGAAGGAGAAGGAGAAGGAGGAGAACAACTGTGATAAAATCTAACAACCCTCACCTGGCAGGTGGGGAATTTGGAAACTGCACTTGTAAAATGATTTTGCATAAAGAATCCCATTCCTCAATGTAACAACCCTTTGCAAAATGTGTGGCATTGTTTAAAAGACAAGTAGCATTTGAAAAATGTGCATTTTAAACAGGCACCAATCTATGCGATATGTTCTCTGTAAATAATAATGGTAAACAAACATGCAAAGATCACGTGTAAAATGATTTTGCATAAAGAACACCTTTCCTCCATGTATGCCACAACCCTTTGCAAACATTGTCGCATTCTTTCGAAGATGTGTAGCATCACTTCCCAATTTCAAAGGGAACCCTCCTATGTATGTACTGAATGATTTCAGAAATCATAGCATTCCTGTAGGAAAATGTAACATGCTGTTTTGCAAGATTGAATCTATTCTTGAATCACTACAGCATGGTTTTGGAAAGAGTGCCACCTTACTGACACATTCATTGAAACATGTGTTTTACCTTTGAAAGTGCAGATTCTTGTTTGCAAAGTGTGCAGCATTATTGTAAGGAAGTGTAGCAAGAGCCTACTGTAGATTCCATTGATGATGCAAAAGCCTGTTTAAAATTACTTTACTTCGTGTGATCCCCACCATGACATTTTTACATTTTCGTACTGGCAAATCTTCTGGCATTCTATCTGACATATCTTCTGGCATATCTTCTGGCATATGTTCTGGCATATCTTCTGGCAAATGTTCTGGCATATCTTCTGGCATATCTCCTGGCATTCTATCTGGCAAATCTTCTGGCATTCTATCTGGCATATCTTCTGGCATTCTATCTGACATATCTTCTGGCATTCTATCTGACATTTTTCTGGCATTCTATCTGGCATATCTTCTGGCATATCTTCTGGCATTTATCTGGCATTCTATCTGGACCTATATTCTTGACATATCTTCTGGCATTCTATTCTGGCATTCTATATGGCATATTTATGGCATTCTATCTGGCATATCTCTGGGGGGCATATGTTCTGGCATATCTTCTGCATATCTTCTGATTCGATCTGCATATCTCTGGATATTATCTGGCAAATTATCTTGATTCTATCTGGCATATTCTTGTGGCATTTCTATCTGGACAGTATATGGCATTCTATCTGGACATATCTTCTGGCTAATCTTCTGGCATAGGTTCTGGCAATCTTCTGGCCAAATGTTTCTGGCATATCTTCTGGCATATCTCTGGCATTTCTATATGACATTTCTATCTGGAATCTCTATCTGGCATTCTATTCTGGCAGTTGAGGTCCAGTGGTGCACCCACTGAGCTGGGCAGGTCCCAGGTTGAGGTCCAGCAGTGCACACTGAGCTGGGAAGGTCCCAGGTTGAGGTCCAGCGGTGCACACTGAGCTGGGAAGGTCCCAGGGTGAGGTCCAGCGGTGCACACTGAGCTGGGCAGATCCCCAGGTTGAGGTCCAGCGGTGCACACTGAGCTGGTTTGGTCCCAGGTTGAGGTCCAGCGGTGCACACTGAGCTGGGAAGTTGGCAAAGAGCTTGGCGAAGAGTTGGCAAGGCGGAAGTTGAGGTGGAAGTTGATGCAGACATGGTCGAGGAGAAACTGGAGGAGGAGGCGAGGAGGAGGACGAGGAAGAGGACAGCTAGTCGAGGAGGAGGAGGAGGAGGCGGAGGAAGAGCGCTCTGATAAAATCTAACAACCCTCACCTGGCAGGTGGGGAAACAAGTGTTTCTTTATTGTAAAGCAAGTATTGCACCACCTTCTGCAAGTAATGCCTTTCCAAAGAGTGCAGCATATCTTATCGTTGTAAACAAAGTAGAATATGGCTTCAAACAATGCAAAACACATTGTAATTATAAATCATAAATATTAATGCAAACTTATTCAAATATAATTATGGCAATGTAAACAAGTGCTACGTGCCTATGCAAAGAGTGCAGTAGCACAATTACCTACAATATATCTTTTAAACTAGTGCAGCATTTGCTCGAAAAAACATGTTATATTACTGCAAACTGTGCAAAATCTGTGTCAATCAAGGAAAGCCTTTCTTTGAAGATCACACACTGTATGTGTATGTGTATATATATATATATGTGTGTGTGTGTCTGTGTATGTATATCCACTTTTAAAAGTGAATAGTTTCTTGGCAAATCTGTGTGGCATCCCTCCAAGAAAGTGTAAAATGAGTCTACAGCAGATTCCATCGATGATGCAATAATGCTTGAGAAGATGGTCGTATTACTTCAGCAAAGTGTGCTACCAATTTATGCAACATGCTTTTCAAAAAGTATAGCATAAAACTAAGGTTATTATCTAGGACATGGCCGAACATTTCAAAATTGGAACACACAGTCTTGATCCTCAGACCCAGTATGTTCATAGCTGCAGTGGTTAAACGATTGGTTCCTGCAAGCTTGAACGCATGAAGACACCGAACGGCCAGTGTACAAAAAGGTGCAAATGGCTGAAAGTGACCAAAACAAAAAAAACATTGGAAAAACCAAAAAAAAACAATTCTCAGAGAGTCTTGGCTGGGACACCCCCCTCCAAAGAGTCTAGAAATATTGTTTTTTTTGTTGTTTTTGTTTTTTTTTGTCTTTTTTTGTTTTTTTTGTTTTTCCAATGTTTTTTTGGTTTTCCCATGTTTTTTTCCAAGGTTTTTGCAGGTTGTTCCAAGGTGTTTCCATGTTTTTTTTGTGTTCCCAGGTTTTTCCAAGGTTGTTTTGTTTTTTTGCAGGTCGTTTCAAAGTTTTTTTAGGTTTCCCAGGTTTTTCCAAACTTTTTTGTTTTTTTTGCAGGTTTTTCCAAGGTTTTTCCAAGCTGTCAAAGTGCCTTTGGGAGTGCAGTAAAACATCAGTAAAACATCTCAAAAGATTATCTTGTCTTAAATCATGGGAAAACTGCACTCCCAGGGGCTGCCGTTCTGTTGTATTAAATGTTGTATTGTATTATATGATATGATATGATATTATATTATATTATATTGTATTGTATTGTAATTAAATATATATATATATATATACATTATACACCTAATATATTAATATGACCATAGCTGATATTGGTGACACCAAGCTCTCCTGGGATTCTGTTGCTGAGGCATCAAATGTGGGAAATCCGCTGGTTCATCATCATTTTCCCCATCAAGATTTTACCATTTTGCTGGTAGAATTACTAACCATGTTCAGACACTGATAATATCAAACCACTAGACCAGGTTCCGTTCTTAGCCCTTGCTGCTTTGGGTCTTAGCAAGCCAGTTCTCTCAAGCCTGACTAGTCCCATGGTAGACGTCCTTGAGACCAGGAAGTGAGAAACCTGTGAACTGTCTTAAGACAAGTCTTCAGTTGTAATATGTTGTAGTCGTGGCGTTGTGGTCCTCAAACTGCCCACTTCTCACAGGGTCAGTTCACCAGCCCCATTTTCAAAAGATCCTCTCCGCGCCTTTCCATTCACAATTGTATCCCCCGCCATCCCCAGCAGTACGTTCGCTGCAGAGAAAACATCGAAGGACCAAACGGGCCTAGGGAGTCGACCAACCAGGAGTGCGAACCGGTAAACCCCAAATACCAAAGGGTACATAATACATGAAGATAAAATCACCGTGGATATCATTACTACATTATACAACAGGTTGGAACAACCCTGTGAACAGTAGTACTAAGTTCTATAGATTCTTTGGAGATAAGTCAGGAAAACCTAGCTACCTATGCCTAAGCCATTTCCGGATTCGGTTCTGGTTATTCACATGAGATTTAACCATCTTTGACAGTTCAAGAGCAGCCACAAGCATATTATAAGTGAACCTGCCCGAAAGAGTTTTGGGACGCACACGATCCATCAACAATGACGGTGGTTTTTTCCCCTGCCTGAGCGACCCATCACAGCACGACCCATCAGAATCCACATCCGAGTCATGGGACCTGGAAAATTCAGGACCTTTCAATCAAAATCCCTGAATCTACCCCATCCATCTTCCTCAAAATCAAACCCATCCCTGGCAAATTGTGCTAAACCCTAAAACCCTAATAAATACTGTATCAATCAAGTTACTCGCCTTTTGTTGGAATGATTCCTCAGAGTTACCCTTCGGTACCCAAACATGGCAATTGGAAATCCCTGTAGATGATTTTAACGCTGAAGACATCATTTTTAGGGGATTTTCCATTGCCAATCGCTGATTACAGGAGGGTAGAAAGTATCATTTATTGAGAACGACGGGTCGGTGAGGGTTCCATTGCTTTTTCTCATCACAACATCCATCATCCTACAGCGTTTCTCAAAGTACGTAAAATTGCCGCAAATCTCATGTTTTCTTGAATCATCGATTCTTTCACTATGATATCTGTTGATGTTTTCCAAGTTTTCGATACGTCTCATGGAGATATTTATGTTTAAAAAGTCACTTCAATCCGCTCAAAAAACCAGGGCAGCCAAGTGACGCCTTGAAACCCACGCGTGGAATCAACCAGTTCAGAGGTGCTACCTCTGGAGGTCGCGCAAAAGCAGTGCAGGCCGCTTGGCCACTCCTGGTTTGTGCCAGTGAACCATTGATAAATGGAGGTTTAATGGTGGTTTAATGGTGGTTTAATGGTGGTTTACTGGTGGTTTATTGGTGGTTTATTGAATAGTATTGGTGATATCTCGGAAATGTGGGAGATCTCTTTACCGTTTTTTGGATAAGAAAAGGTCTGATTCACCACGCAAAGCTTACAGTTACTTGTACTTTTGCAACGTGTGCAACATTTTGGAGTTGAGCTTTCACGTGGCTTCAATGAAATGTCTTTGTTCCCCGAAAACCGGAAAAAGGATGACAATTTCAGTTGCAGTTGATCAAAAACACCATGGTTTTGATGGGGAGTGAGCAAGAATACAATACTTACTGGTGCTAAACGCAAGGAATTTTAGGGAATGATCCCAGTCATCACTAGTAATATATAATCATCCCAGCAACCCCCATTCCTATCCATTCCCTACTAAGCACCAGTAAGATGAAATAGGGAGTTGAGCCACTGGAATCGGGACCAACTCCACCGTCCAGTCGGAGGTCGGACATTTCGAGACAAGCTACGACCCTAACGAGATCTGGAAGCATGAAGCAGCTGGAAGCCCATCAACGCACTTCGTCTGAATATATATATATATATGTATATATATATATATATGCATTACATATATATATATATATATGTGACACACACATATATATATAATATAGAGATACACACTGTATATTATATTAAATGAGTATCGCAAATCATAGAATTGACATGAATTTTCACATTAGGTGTTGCCCAGAAAAGCCTAAGACTTCCATGGCATCTTGTCGGTGGCACTGACAAGTTTTTTGTAGTGAGGACCTGGTCCAGTTGGTCTTCCAATCGTGTTCGAAATGACAGGTTCTTACATCATGAATTCGATTTTTTGAGTTGGTTTGGATAGAGTCTGCAAATCCATTTTAAAAATCCCATTTCTAATTCACCGGTTTGCATCCCATGAATTCCCATGAATTCATATGAATTGCCATGAATCCCCATCTACAGTATATCCCATTGATATCTATTTAAGTCCCATTGATACCCCGTGAATTTCCATTGCAATTCCCAGATATTCATGGATAAAGCCACTTTTTTCTTCCCAGGAACGGTTCAGCTGTGGACAAGGCTGTGCCCAGGTCTACGATCATCAGGTGCCCTTCATCTTTCACCTCAGAGGGAGCTTTCTCCTGAAAATATGGTCTCTTTAATGGGAAAAAAGTGAAGGCTTTAACATTCTGAAACTTATTTCAACCTCCACTTTTTGTATATGTTTATCCCACTATTTTTCAGGTACCAAACTCATTTAGCCCTGTCAACCCCCCAATGCTACATATTGTTCGGGCATAAAAATGGAGGCACAAAATAAATCGAAGGCACGAGTCCGAGCAAGTATACAGAGATTTGTTGTGGACATAAATGGATGCAAATTGGGGATATAGCATGTCGAATCCAATGCCATTGAATGGAGAAAGAGTTTTTTTACAGTTTTTTGTTACCATACAGAACTGTCTTTACCAGCTGTTTTTTCAGGATCAACACTGCAGAACTGAAGAATTCAAGGCTTGGCAAATGGATTGATGTATTAAGATGATACAAATGGGGTATGACTCTGCAACTTTGGGCCCCAAGTTGGCAGACACTGTGCCCCCAAAAATGGCCAACAAAGATGAACATATATATATATTATAATGATGAGAAAATATATTAAGATGATGGACAACCATGAGGTTTTCTGAACCACGGTTGATAGTTGATGAGCTCTTCCCGACATTTCCAGTTCCGTTTCTGCCCAGCATCCACCATATTCAGCCCTTTCAGGTCCTAAGATTGTTTTTAGCAGCGCTGGCGTTTCTCGCGGCTAGAAGGGGTCGAGTAAAGAGATAGACGAGCGAAAAACGTCAGAGTTGATCTCGGCCCAAGAATTGCAGTTCAAATTCACCAAGCTGACAGAAACTGCCCAGACTTACAAAATAGTTGCCCTTGGTAGGGGTTTAGTGGGAAAATGTCATTGAATTAAATATTGTATTGTTTTTCCATAGTTTTCTACTGTAGAAACGTAGAAAGCCTGTCAGGCACTGGTCCTTTTAAAGGTGATGTATTTTACCATAACATCGCACCTTTTGGTGTTCATCAAATCCTCAAACAGTCTGAAATTGCCCGTGTTGCGATATGTTGCGGCAAAAACACAGCCCATTTTCGGCGGGAAGGGCATCTGCCGCGGCACGTGATGCACCCACTGGGTATCCGTTGGGCTTTCTGCCAGAAACCTTGGGCGATGACCCGTTGAAATCTTGTAGAAAGCAACAAAGAGACGTTGATTGCAGGTCTTTTAATGCTGATGATATGGAGATTATATGGAGATATTGGGTTGGACATAATATCATGATCTTGGGGAAAACAACAATACTTTGGTTTTCAAATTTTCAAGTCGCTAAACTAGACCAAAGTTAGCAGGGGGATCACCCAAGGTCATGATGCTGAACTCGTTGCATCTGCAGTCAAGGGCACTTGAGTCCCATGAACATGTCCTTGGCCATCCTATTGAAGGTCACGACGTAGTCCTGGCCAGGTTTCGACGACGGGTATCCAATGGGTCGATGTCGCTGAATTGCTGAGGCCCCACCTTCACCATGATTCCATTGGGAAAGAGTTGACTTCCTGTGAAATCTTCAGGACATCTCCAAGTTATCCAAGGCCACCGGTGAATTGCGTCATGTACAAAAATAGGATAAAAATGAACTTGGCTGGTTGATAGGGTCTCCCTGTCTCCCATGATGTAGTCACCAACTTCTCTGGCACCAACTAGTGGGACTTGGAGATTGTGAAGAACCTCCATTCACGTTAACGGGGATCAATTCACAGCAATTCAACACATATGTAGAGCATCTCCCAAAAAAGATAGAAAGTTATCTACCGTTATTCTAGGATGTTGTTTTTCTGACAAGGTTTTTTCTATTTTTTGGTGGTTTTACTGTGGGCATATAGTTAAGCATACAATTAGGCATCGGCAAAGAATATAGTTAAGCATATGAACCCTAACACGGCAGATGAATGGATGTTCGTCCCTCAAAACTAGGCGCATTGTTAGTTTAACCTGGATGACGATCGGATCCTGAAGTAGATAGAATATGTAAAATATCGAAACTCCTCACTCAAAAAGAGCGTGCAATTGATATTGAAAATCCCATATTGTCCATCTACTGCAGGATGGCTAGAATATATATATATATATACATGCATGTATATATACATATATATTATAAATGTGTATATATATATATTATTATATACAGCTTGAGTATTGTACAAGAATTCACTGTATAAGAATTTGAGGGGCTCGGTTCCAAGATGGGCTATATATTTTCAGCTATACCAAACACATAGCACATTAAGAATTTGAGGGGCCCTGGAATCGGACTGCCTATTTCTTAAATTACTGCTTATACGTGACCCCTTGTACTGGAGACTTCGAAACTAGGCGGGTACAAACATAATCCGTAATCCTCCTAGTCCTGGTTCTTTCACTAATCCAATGCGTCATCCGGTGCTCGAGTGTATACCCGAACGAGCAGCAACCAGCACCCAGCAGCGCCCCAGGAGAAGCCCAGCACCAACAGCCGCAGCAGCAGGAGCAGCCAACCAGCACCCTGGCTTAGCAAAAAAACGCTGTTTTCAGGATCTACAAGAACATATATTGTCGCATGCCTCTTGTCAAATCTGCTTGGCAAGCGCATTGCAAGAATAGAGAATATCAAATATTAAAACGAATGCCAAGCATGACCACATGCGCGACTTGCTACACTGGACCGTGTGATGACTCGCTTCCTTCAAGCAAAAAACGCCAAGCCCAAGCCTGTGAAGGGCGCGCCGGGGGAGAACCGAGGATTCCGGCCACGACAGAGCCCAGCGCGGCCAAAACCCTGGTATAACGCAAAATCGTGCTGTAGCTCGATTTTGACGACATATTTTCGCATGAATAGTCAAATCTGCCAACTCCACCTCGTTACCTTGTTTAATCTTGCTCCAAATTGTGCAGATGCCTGCAATACAATACTAAGAATGCCTTAAGAATTTGAGGGACCCTCGGCCTGTTGTAGTGTAAATTTGCCTGTATTTAAAAATAAGAATTTGAGGGACCCTGGACCTCAAGCTTTCGGATTCTTCACCAGCGCTCGGGCTGTATTATACATATGTATATAATATAGAAGAAACATATATAACTACCCCCCCAAAAAAAAAGAAAATAAAAAATGGCACCCATTTCAGTAGGATCTTATCACCTTTTTTGACAGGTGAAGTTTCGCCTTGTGCAGCTTCGTTTGGTTCACAAACTTCAGCCACCACTTGTCCAAGTCATTGCGTCCGGCGTATTCCAAGACGATGTACAGGGGATGCTCCGACGCCTGGGTTCTGGTGCCAAGGATGCCATGCTTGGGAAATGGCCCTTGAACAATGCTTGGGAAACGACTAGTCGTGTTTTTTTGGTTGAGGTACAGTATTAAATTTGTTCAAAAATCGGAAGTTGTTCATTCTCGCTCACAATCACTACCAGTGATATGGACTTCCTCAGTCTCAGTTGTTGATTTTTTTGGGGCGCCCTCAACAACAGTCAGGGTGATGTGAGATGATGTGGCCACGGGTTTGGCCCATCCCCTACAAATAGCAAATCTAATGGTATAGACCACTATACACCTCGTTTTTTCAGGAACAATGCTATGTTTCGGGATATAATATCTGACCAGTTTCAAGGATTTCTTGGCACATAGCTTATATTTCTGTAATTCGAAACGAAATAAAATGAGGTCGTTTGAAAAACAAAATTAGTGTGAGGTCGTTGTCGCAGCGGAGGTCGTTGCGCACGCCAGAGCATCAAATCCGTTTGGCCCGGTTTCCCCCGATAGCTGCCGAAGGCAAAGAAGGATTAACAGCTTGAAAGCTGCTCCAAACACAACAAGGAACTGTTCCTATTTTGACGAAATAGGGCCGTTATGTTTTTTCCATTTTTTTCCTTCATCCCTGAGCTTGTTTTTGTCGCAGGTTCAATCCCCGGCCAATGCTCGGTGGACAGCACCTGCTGTTTAGGAATCAGAAAGCCGCACCGGCCACGACATGGAGCTCTCCTATCTTGACAGAATAGGAGCGCTTTTTCTTCACGCCTGTGCCTGTTTGGCGCGGTTTCCCACTCATTACCCAAGATGTTGACGAAATAGGAGTCTTTTGTTTGGCGCAGTTTAACGCGATAGCAGCCTAAGGTAAAAGTTTTAAACGACATGCATTCTCTTAGGTTGAGTCTAAAATTCCCTTAATTTCAAAATTCTGCCTCATTAAATCAGGGGTGTCGTGACGTCGACTTAATTTGCGCATATATATATATATATGTTGATATTATATATATATACATATATATATATATACATATTCATAATTATTCATATACATACATAATCATACATACATAAATCCACCAGTTTCAGGTCCAAAGCCATATAGAATCCTTTGGATCTGCTCAAACACCAAGTCACAGGGTCTTGCAAGGAGGGCGTGATTCCATCGTACCTCGGCTCCACAAAATGGGGTAAAGTCGCCCAAGTCATTCGACCGTTTTAGTTTTGATAGTTTTGGTGACCCCCAATTCAAGAAGCGCCCACTTTGCGTTGACAGGGTTCCACTGGCTCGTGACACATTCTGTTCAAAGCCCTGCAAATAGGATGGCCCCTGAGAAGTACTGCAGAGGCAAGTAGCCAAAAAAAAACTCAGTCCTTTCAGCGGTCACTTCTCGGCGATCCATCGGTCTAATGGCAGAGGTTAGAAACACCCTGATCAATTTTGGAATTGATCCCTGATTTGACTTTGACAAAAACTAAACAATGGTCCATAATGGTCCTTGATTCCCAAGCGCAAACCTCTATGTTGGGAAGTATCATTGTTTATAACGCTTTGGTCGATGACAGGGCAGTTGCCAAAACAAAAACAGTTGCGGCTCAGTGGAGAATGATCACCGAAAAAAAAGATTGTCGTCCTGCACTGTTTCAAATAGGATATTGTTAGGTTGTCAGACAAGTTGTCATACTCCCCAATCAATAAGGTAGTATAACCGCCTATGATAAACATGATAACCAATATCATCAATCAACAATGGTACTGTCAATGGCTTAGTTTTTGTTCGTTGAAATCCTCAAAACTCCGCAGACTTGCCATAGGCTGATCGTGGCTGGTGAAATGCTGTTGCTGAACCAAGATGCAAACATTTCAAGACGCGAGCGGCCCCATCCGGATCTTTGCTCTGACCTAAATCAGCTGATTGGCTAAAGCAACCAAAACGAGGATAGAAATCGGTGTTCATCAGGGGAGTTCACTGCGAAATGAGGCGCTTCAATCCACATTTTTCATGGTGATACTACCCATGAACAGGGACAGCTGGTTTATTACCTTAGTCAATCCATTGGCTCCATGTGCCCGGCTCTTTCAGCCCATCTAAACCAAGAAGAGAATTTGTGGATTTCAAATATTTCAAGCTCAAATCTGATGATTCAAAGCATATCAAAGCTGGGCGTTTTATACAAATTACATCAACCTCTGGGCATCACCAGATGAACCCAGGCTCCACCTTGGGACGAGTCAAGACTGCCAGCTAAATCCGTGAAGAGATGGTGAAGATGGTATCACCATGGGACCCTCCAATGGCCAAGCGAAAGAAACACCGAAACGTTTTTTGATCAAATCAAAGGATTTCGTCTTTGAAAGTGCCCTTGAGAAGGATGGAATATGATGGAATATGATGGAATCACGGGATTTTGCGAAACATTTTTTTCAGGTCACCAGGGGTGTCACAAAGTTTCTGCGGAAAATTTGGTGTCAAAATCTTCAAGGCCAACAGCTTTCCGATGCTTTCGGAAGTTCCCTGCAAATCAAGAGACCCTCTTGGATCTTTTGGATGTTGATACACTCCTGCCTGCAGAGACCCAAGCTCCAGCGATCTGAAACTGGTCGTCACCGGATACTTCCCATTGGTGTTCCAGACTTTTTCGGGAGCAATCAATCATCCGCCTTTTTCGGGCAACCCAAAGCTTATCAATACTCGCTACGTATCCCTACAGCCAATACGACTTGGTTTTTTGCCAAAATTTGGCACACGGAAATTGGAAAAAATACCGGTAATAAAGGCCCATTCGTATATACGAATTTCAGCTTAAAACCTGTCCCTGAATTTCGACCCCCGAATGCTTCCATGTTCTTTGGTGTTCATTTCCGGAAGTCGGCACTCCTGATGAAATGTACCAATTTTTCGAAGTGGAAAAACTGTTTGAAATCTTCCAACAGATCCTGCCCTAGTCAGTGTGGACTTCCTGAGAAAAGGGGTTGACACGGCGCCGACCCATGCCGACTTGGAGACTTGAGCTGAGACTGGAACGCATTCCTTTGTGGTTTTATCCCGTAAAACCTTTCACCGATGTTCAATATCGAGTACATATTTTTACATATTTTTACATAGATGTCATAGCTCACCAGCTAAGTCACACAAAGTGAACAAGTTGGGATCCTTTGACTGACAGCCAATGGTTTCCACCTGCTTTCATCGACCAGTGCTTGCAGATCCCTTGGCGCCAGGGCGACTGCAAAGCTACAGCAAAGATCTGGTCAAAACATGTTGTTTGGTCTGAAAATGGGACATTTGAACCCAAGATATGTTTTATTATGTTTTATTTATGTTTTATTTATGTTTTATTTCACATCATTTTAGAAGGGAACATGATGATCATTTTAGTGGGTACCATATGATATCATAATGTTCAAAGCCAAATGGTTTGATGTCATCTTGAAATCATCCATATCATGAGGACCGGAACAGCTCTGGGTCCTGAATATGGTTACAATGTGATGACTTTCCTCAGTTGCGTTGTTTCATCCATTTGTCAAGCCCGGGTAGTAATTGACTGCTTAATGACCCTGGTGATCCTAATTTTACTATGTAAAGCCGCGATTCCTGCGACTATCCAATGTATCAATGCAAAATCAAACCCAGGTCTTCGTCGGCAGAAAACTCAGATGTCACTGACACCATCTTTGGTGGCGGCTCAAAATGATCTGATCCCACAATTGGCATGTTTTTTTCCGACCAAATCTCTGGGGTTGATATGGGTTGATGCGCCCTGCATAGCCAGGACAGCCCTTCCCATTTTTTCTTCCAGGACAGCCACCTCGACACCCAAAACTCAACCGCTGCGCCAAGGTGCTTGTCTTCGTGGTAGATTTTTGACGTCGCCCAAAACTTAGCGGCTGGGTGTTTGAAAACCCTCTGAGGTAGGATTGCTACGCTGCACCATGGGTAGAATTTAGTGCACATCTATATATATATATATATATCGTGATTATCATTATTATTTTTATTATTATCATTCTATATATATATATATATACTATATACTCATCAATAAAACTATGTTGTTGAAATTGTCCTTAGGAAAACACAACGGAGGTATTCAAAGTGACCTGTTCATCTGCTTTTTGAAGGTCGGCAAAAAAAAGTCGGTCGAAATTCGCACTAGCCCGTGGTTCCGAACATTCTATGGATCATGCATGTGAAGCCCCACTCATGTGGTAAACCTAATGATAAACCATCCCCAAAATCACCACCAATGGGTGATATAAACCATCCCGAAATGGTAGTTTGGGTTTCCCACATCACATCTCTCTACAAGATCTTTCAGCCAACCGTTCAAGTCAGTGGAGAAAATGGCTGGTAGCGAGCTCGATTCCCGGTCCCGGGATGCAGACTTGGCTTCATCGAAATGGTTTTGTTGAACCCAAAAAAATAGAGCCAGAATTCAGAATCCACGAAGATTCTGCATGTCTTCTGCAAGTGTTCAACACGTTTCCGTCTTTTTTTTGTCCAGTAAACCTCACCAACATGGGAATGGGGGTTCCCCATTGTCTCCCCCCAAAAAAGTTGATCGAATCTGATCATCCAAAAAATAACAGGCCGCAAGAGTATAAAACAGCGCCGGTCTAGAAACGCCCTCACCAAAGATGGTCATTCTGCCTTTCAGCAGCTTCACAGCCACCTGAACAGAAGCAAGAGGCGTTTTGGGAAAACTCTGTATTTTTACGTGTGTTCATATGTATAAATATATATATATATATAATTAATGCTATTTATATTTGTTTCCGATGTTGATTTTCCAGTCATTAACAATTTCAATCGAAAACATATCTCAAACAAAAACTTCATCAAGTGCCAATTGCTCGAAAGTTTCGCTGAAGACAACGTCTTCAATGAATGTGCAGAAATTCCTATGACCTCAGTGACAAAAAGTTGAGGCCCCTGAATGGCTGAACTCCTGAAAGACTGTTTCAGCCATCCAAACTGACCATATCTGAATGCCTTTGCCAAGGCATTCTCCGAGGCAGCGCCTGCTGATTGGTCTTCTTGTCCTTTGCCAGAAACACCACGCCAAAGGAGCCACTCGCCAGTTGTTCGCTGTCCTGATGGCCCCGAAAAAATGCCCAAAAAACAAACATGGCAGTCATTCTTGCAGTGTTGCCCTTCAACAAATTAACACAATCGATAGATATCGATTCTACAGATATATCATATGATGATTATTCTTTATTGTTTGTCTTGGAAAACAAAGTTTTTCCGCATCTATGTCAGCTTACTAGCCGCCATCAGCCCTTAGGGGCTGAAAAGATCTTGGTTTCCCAAAGGCGGTGAGGGAATGCATCAAGTCTTCGCTACAGATTTAATCTGGTTGGTGGTTTCAACCCCTCTGAAAAATATTAGTCAGTTGGGATTATTGTTCCCAATATATGGAAAATGTGGAAAAATAAAACATGTTCCAACCACCAACCAGTAATCCTTTAGTGACTCCACTGTTCATGATTTGTACATGTTGTACATCACTGCTTCCGGATAGCCAAGTGGGCTATTTCTGCACAAACCTAGTGTGCAAATCTTCCGGGAAAGAGGTGTTCGATGCTCCTGTCTTGTGTTTTTGGATCGCACTCGCACAACAACTCCCGAAGTTTCAGACCTTCAGAGAGCCACCTGTTCTCTCTATCTCAAATCGGTTCTATTGGCCCTTCACTGTGTCTTTCGCGGGGCATCTTTTGTGGAGCGTTCGCCGTTCGCAAAACGCGAAAAGAGATCTCTGTGCGAATCGATCGCAACTATGGTTTTAGCTTTCACGGCATGTTACTTTTGATCAGTTGGAGGGGTGTGGACGCTGCTCAACAATTCCGCCGTATTCGGCACCTAGAGAGGCTCTTCGGTTTCATTTGTGAGGGCGAGAATATGGCACCTTGAAGCCATAGTGGCCGATCTTTTCCGGCTGGCGGTTGAACCCCATAACCCTTCCTTGATTCGGCTTGGAAAGAAGAATCAATGAACCTGAAACCACCAAGGAGTAGTCAATCATACAAAAAAATGCTGATATACTTTGGGTATCTTTGGGTCATAAACCTCAAGTTCCTGGGCCAAATGTAGGATAACAGCTACTAAGCTTGAAAAGGCACTATAGAGATGGTTTCCGAAATCCATGTCATCAGTTTTGGTGAGATCGTCATCAGGGCGTTGCCACCCGGATCCTACAGCGTTCACTGGCCTCAAATTGGGACTCCATCGCCTGCCCGACGCGTCGGTGGCTTTGCCGATTGCCCAGTGCTAGGGGATTTATGGGGATTTCCCATTGTCATCTTTGATTCACAGGACGGCGATCCAAATTAGATGATCCATCAATGGATGATCCATGAATCATCCTAATAAATACATATAAATACGGATGTTCTATCGTCTGAGTAGAAATCGCAGGCTATGGGGTGCCGCAACAATTGGGTCTTTGTACTCCAGAAAATGATCGAAAGTGGCGGGTCGCAATGCTGACCCCAAACGCGAGAGAGAAATGGTAGAACATGGTGGAACCACGATGCGGATGCAACACCAACAGACCAAAGGACAGTAGGCTGAGGTGACTACCTCAGTTTCTCCAAGTTTGGAACTTCAGAGGTTCCGAGAAAAACAAAAAAAATGCACACTGCTCATCTATAGCCACCTCCTTGTGTCTTTTGAGCCCTGAGAAATACCCAAAAAAATGGCCAGCTGCATCCAATTGACGATCGAGTCATGACATGGGCTCCGAAACTGGGGTGCACCCCCAAAGTCACAGGAAAATGATGATCAAGTCAACTCTCAAAAATTCGAGCTACCATCTGGCAATCAAACACGGCTAGCTGGAAAATCTGGAAAATCCCCCATTTGGCCTGATGATTTCCCATTCAAACTTTCATTTCTAGTGGATTTCCAATTGCCACGTTTGAGTAGCGGTGCCCGATTTTAAATTCGACATGCCCAGATCCACTGTCCCCGGCATCGCGCCGCGTCTTGTGGCCAGCTCCAGTCGACGATTGCTGTTGAACTCAAGGGCGATAAAATCTGGCAGATTGGAAGGCAGAGGGTCCCAGAGAGTGGGTGAGTTTGTGAAAAAACTCCATGGGATTTCCACTTGATTTTGTCAGGGAGAAGACCCAAGAACAACATCTGTTCTAAAAAAAACCCAGCCATTTCAAGAGATGTATGGTGACTTTTTTTCTTCAATTAGTCTTGGTGGAAACTCCCACTTTAGACCTAGGGTTGTAGCTGGTTGGATGCTGGGAGGAATTTTACATGAAACTTACTGGGCCAATTTTCCAAGTAAAGCATAGTAAAGCAAAAACCGGGCCACAGAACCACCTGCAAAATGCGTCTAGAGTTCTTACTGGGAAAATTTGGATTCCATGATTCTCAACTAATTTCCGGAACAAAAATGTTGTCACCTGTCATTACTTGCGCATTAGTGGGTAGCAGTAAAACCATCAGCAATCACCTCAGTTCCAACCAACTGCTTCCAATGAGGAGCCCCAAATCTCTGGGCCAACACTGCCAACACCAAACATCAAAAACGACTTCTCAGAGAAGTTGGTGAATTCCCTTTCGGATTTTTGATGTTTTTCGAGATATCTAAACCAGGTTTCTCTCCAGGACCACACCTTTTTGTGCAGGGCTGCAAGAGGTTTCAGCAGCGTTCCTTGGTGAAGTGACCTCCAAACCAGGTGAAATGATGTGAAATGATGTCGTATGTTTTTCATCGCCTGTGTGATGTTGAAAACGATAAAACCATAAAACTCTGTGAATTTTTGGGAAGTCTAAAACGTTACTACTTAGAACATTCAAGAACGATCACAAAAATTGACTCATTTGAAGAAAAAACAAGAATCAGGGCCCCAGGGGCCCCAGGGCATGTCATCCCAATATTGATGGCAACCAGAATCCTCGGTTTCAATCCATTTCAGTCTCTAGTTTCAGTCGGCATAAGATGATCCCAGAATTGACCAGATGAACCACCCATATCTTGATGGTGTATACCACCCGTTGATGGTCAATTTGGGGATGGTTTACTATTACTTTACTAACCGCAAAAGTACGATTTGTAGATACTTTCCCCAAGCAATCTGCGCATCGCAAAGCTTCGGCCCCACGACCAAGGCCAAGGATGACCTGCAAGCACAGGTTGGGATGGTGGAGGGGAAAGTCCGAAGTCCACTCGTAAAACATGGATTGGTTGGAAGGAAGTTGGGTCACTTTGAGCGGAAACCATGGTTTTGACCATCAGTCTACTTGAGTCTCTGCTGTAGATGATCCCTCAAACCAATTCTGGAGTCCAAATCGCCCCACCAAGTCATCTCCCTTGTGGATTTCGCCCAAAGCGGCTGGACAAGTGAAGATGATCTCTGAATTAGTCTGGACCCCTGAGTAAACTAGCCATTGACCCAATGCCAATGCCATAGATGATGGCATTAGCCTCTAACAAAATGCTTCAGAATCATCAAGATATATATATATATACGTATGTATGTATATATATATATACTAGGATATTATAACTTATAATTCCTTTTCTATATAATTATATGTGTGTATAATTGTATATATATATATATAAACAATACACATAACAATTGATGCTGCATGGATCCGCATTTTGCCGCTGCACCTTGCGTCCTCTGCTGTTCAGCATGCCGTACGCCACGTCGTACACCCTGGTCTTTGTCCACGCGCAACACAGCCAGAAATTCGAAGTGTTCCAAGGCCTCATGTCCTTGGAGCACTTGGAGTTGGGTCGAAATGACCCTCTGGTAAACGTTTACAAAAAGCTATGGAAAATCACCATGATTGAGCGGCAAATCCACTAGAAATTACTGTGCCATGTTATCAATGATAAATTGCCAGAGGGTGTTGAGGGATGTTGAGGGTATCACATGTTTTTATCCCCAATAGTCGACAAACAATGGGGACACAAAGTCAGCGGCCATGGTTCGTGACAGATTCTAAAAAACCCAAGTTGTCCGACGCGCCCAGAATCGCCCGAGCAATTAGAGCTTCTCCGAAACAAACCATGAAACAAATCGTTTGGGGGCTCCAAACCACGTTCACATCTTTCAAAGGTTCTGGTGTATGTAATTTTCCCCAAAATTGTGTTAAACATCCCTAGAAATACACAAATCTATTGCACCAATACATCTGATGTTTGTTTTTTTTCGGATCGTCAACTGCGAAAAACATCTCAAGCCCAGCAGCTGGGTGGTTGTAAATGCTCTTCAATGCCTCGTCGGCTTGTTTGTTTTTCTGGCGTCCCAAGTGGATCACAACGGGCGTTGATCGTTACAGTTCGCTTCAAATCCAGTCACAAAGGAGAGAACTGTGAAAATCCATAGACAATCATGGACAAAACATGGATGTAACATGAATAAAACATGGATGAGGCATGGGTAAGCCAACTATGTTCCAGGAAAAAAAACATTTTGTGGACATGTCATGGACATCAAGGGCACTTCCCCAGCACTGATACAAGGGCCGCGCCTGGAATCCAGGCAAAAGCGCTGGGATTCAGAAGCAAGGCCGCCACGTAGCGCCACATGGACTTTGTGGGATTGACAGGCTGTCACAGTTTGAACTTGGAGGCGCTTTTGCGATATTTCTAGAGATATTTCAGCATTGAGTAAACAAAGAAAAGTGGGAAACACCATAGTACTTATCAGTGCTGACTTCCATGTACCGGAAAAACAGCACGACCAGAATATCCAGAATCCAGCTGCCACAACCCAGGAACCCAATTGAACAATAGTCGGTTGAGCTGTTGATGAAGCTTGGCTGCGCCTTTTGAGCACCCACAAATCAAAAACAAATAGATATGACATATATATGACATATTACTGTATGTCTTGTCTTTTTCATGTTTCATGCATGAGAATCATCGGTCAAAGGCAATTAAACCACAATCATGCTAATGAACTAATATCAACATATATCAACTCGACCGGAATCAACTCTACCCCAGCTATGAAATCCCTGGGTTCTGAGGTCCAAACCCTTCGAGAAGGGCACCTGGGGAGTTGGTTTCCAAAACTGCTGATGAATGAATCGAATGATAGAATCTCACAGATACATCCGGATGAATAGTTTATGGGGGAATAAATAATCCATTATAATCAGATTTATTAACTAGTGATGGAAACACCATATGAATTGTGCTCTTAGCAACTCCAGCACGCAGCACGCGCAACGCTGAGTGCTAGCACGCAGGTTCGTCACGCAGTGGGTTTTTAGCATTGTGATATATGTAAATGCATTTAACTAAATCCGAAAAAAACATCCATACAATTTTTAGACCTTAAAGGGCTAGTAAATCGCAAGTTCGAAACGCATGGGGTTTTATTATCCTATTCATACCTCGGTGCATTTACTTTTCTGTGACAAAAGCATCCGGTAACGTGTGAATATCTGCCTGACGTCCGGATGCATTTTGCGCTTCCCAAAAAAACATCTTGGGTTTCCCCGTTTCCTCCAAAAGGGTAATTTCTTTCAGGGTGTTGAAAAAATCAACGCCACTTGGAGGTACTCGTGCGGCTCTCATGAATGTGATGAGTATCTCATGATATCTCATGCTTATCGTCACTCCAATGCATTTTTCCTATTCCAATAAAAGCATTCACTATCCCAGTAGTACCCGCACGAGGCGGGGCGGAAGTTGCCTTAAAGATATATATAACACCTTTCTCATCTATAGAACTTGCATGCGCCGTGCGCCAGCCAAGCCCGTGCGCGCGTGCACTCTGCGAAAGTGGTGTCTTGTTTCACATGTCACATTTGAAGCTCCACTTCGCACTTCGCACTTCTCACTGCAGTCTTCACACTCCACACTGCACACTTCACACTCCACCCTTCACACTGCACTCTTCACACTGCACCCTTCGCAGTCAACACTTCACACTTCTCACTTCTCACTCCACACTTCACACTCCACACTTTACACTCCACGCTTCACACTTCTCACTGCTTTCTTCAGACTCCACACTTCATACTTCACACTTTACACGTCACAGTCCACACTTCACACTTCTCATTGCTTTCTTCACACTCCCCACACTTCTTCACTCCACAGAGAAGCTTTTACACACAGCAAGCTTTCACACACAGCAAGCATTTACACACAGAACACTTACACACAGTGCTTTTACACATGGCAAGCGCTTACACACACACAGAAACTTTTACACAGAGAAGCTTTTACACACAGCAAACTTTTACACACAGCAAGCTTTCACACACAGCAAGCGTTTACACACAGTACTTGCACACAGTGCTTTTACACATGGCAAGCGTTTACACAGAACACTTACACACAGTGCTTTTACACATGGCAAGCGTTTACACACACACAAAAAAAAACTTTTACACAGAGACACTTTTAACACATGCACAGATAAGCTTTTACACACAGCAAACTTTTACACGCAACATCTTTTACACACAGCAAGCATTCACACACAGCAAGCGTTTAGACACAGAACACTTACACACAGTACTTGCACACAGTGCTTTTACACATGGCAAGCGTTTACACACAAATTTTTCCACACAGGAATTGCAGCTCCAAAACCGGATGGATCTCGACGCCAAAGCAGAAAAAAGACGATTTTGAAGCATTTTTAAAAGGGATTTTAAAAGGAAAATTACTAGCGCCAAAATTGCGAAATCTGCTGACAAATGACTATCGCAGCCTGGATGCAGCCACTCCAATACGATTTACAATCTTCAGCTGCAAAAGACAATAGTATTACGCATGCAGCCGCGGCGGCAAGCAACCTTGAGGCAGCCACTCCAATGCAATCTGCAGAGACTGAGTTGCAAATCACAATAGAACTAAGCGCAACGGCGTCGGAAATTGCAGCTCCAAAACCGGATGGATCTCGACGCCAAAGCAAAAAAAAGACGATTTTGAAGCATTTTTTAAAAGGAATTTTAAAAGGAAAATTACTAGCGCCAAATTTGCGAAAATCTGCTGACAAATGACTATCGCAGCCTGGATGCAGCCACTCCAATACGATTTACAATCTTCAGCTGCAAAAGACAATAGTATTACGCATGCAGCCGCGGCGGCAAGCAACCTTGACGCAGCCATTCCAATGCGATCTGCAACCGGAGATTCCAAAACACCCTATAACTACGCACACACAAGCAAACCCAAAGCAGCTTCAAGCCACCGTTACAATGCGGCAAAAAAAAAGGCAAACCGACCGCAGCCGCACCCGCCGCACAGACGAGGTACCTTTCATCGCCGGCTGCAGCCACTTTACACGGAAAAACACAAGGTTTCGTGCTCCGGCTTCCTCCCCCAAAACAGAGCCCTTGCAACATCATGCAGCCATTCCAATGCGATCTGCAAGCACAGATTCCAAAACACCCTATAACTACGCACACACAAGCACACCCAAAGCAGCGTGAAGCCACCGTTACACTGCGGCAAAAAAAAAACGATAAACCGACCGCAGCCGCAACCGCCGCACAGACGAGGTACCTTTCATCGCCGGCTGCAGCCACTTTACACGGAAAAACACAAGGTTTCGTGCTCCAGCTTCCTCCCCAAAACATAGCCCATGCAACATCATGCAGCCATTCCAATGGGAGCTGCAACCACAGATTCCAAAACACCCTATAAATACGCACACACAACCACACCCAAAGCAGCTTCAAGCCACCGTTACACTGCGGCAAAAAAAAAAAAAAGATTAAAAAGAAAGCTCAGCAAGCAAAAACGAAAAGAAGAGTCCCCGGGGTCCAGGTACCTTTCATCGTCGCCTGCAGCCACTTTACACGGAAAAACAAGGTTTCGTGCTCCGGCTTCCTCCCCAAAACACGGCCCATTTGCAAAATCATGCGCCATTCCCAATGGGGATCTGCAAACCACAGATCCAAAACACACCTCTAAATACGCACACACAACCCACACCCCAACGCAGCTCAAGCCACCCGTTACACTGCGCAAAAAAAAAACGATTAAACCGACCGCAGCCGCCAACCGCCCACAGACGACGGTACCTTCATCGTCCGGCTGCAACCACTTTACACGGAAAAACACAAGGTTTCGTGCTCCGGCTTCCTCCCCAAAACAGAGCCCTTGCAACATCATGCAGCCATTCCAATGCGATCTGCAAGCACAGATTCCAAAACACCCTATAACTACGCACACACAAGCACACCCAAAGCAGCGTGAAGCCACCGTTACACTGCGGCAAAAAAAAAACGATAAACCGACCGCAGCCGCAACCGCCGCACAGACGAGGTACCTTTCATCGCCGGCTGCAGCCACTTTACACGGAAAAACACAAGGTTTCGTGCTCCAGCTTCCTCCCCAAAACATAGCCCATGCAACATCATGCAGCCATTCCAATGGGAGCTGCAACCACAGATTCCAAAACACCCTATAAATAGCACACACAACCACACCCCAAAAGCAGCGTGAAGCCCCCGTTACACTGAGGCAAAAAAAAAAACGACAACCGACCGCCAGCGCAACCGCCGCACAGACGAGGTACATTTCATCGCCGGCATGCAGCATTACACGGAAAAACACAAAGGTTCGTTGCTCCAGCTTCCTCCCCCAAAACATTGCCCATGCAACATCATGCAGCCATTCCCAATGCGCCACCCACTTCATTCGTCACCACTTCCCTTCGTCCCACTTCCCTTCTCACCACTTCCCTTCGTCACCACTTCCCATCGTCACCACTTCCCTTCGTCACCACTTCCCTTCGTCACCACTCCCCTTCATCATCACTTCCCTTCTTCACCGCTTCCCTTCGTCACCACTTCCCTTCTTCACCACTTCCCTTCCTCACCACTTCCCTTCGTCGTCACTCCCCTTCATCATCACTTCCCTTCTTCACCACTTCCCTTCGTCACCACTTGCCCATCGTCACCACTTCCCTTCGTCACCACTTCCCTTCGTCACCACTTCCCTTCGTCACCACTCCCCTTCATCATCACTTCCCTTCTTCACCACTTCCCTTCGTCACCACTTGCCTATCGTCACCACTTCCCTTCGTCACTACTTCCCTTCGTCACCACTTCCCTTCCCATCGTCACCACTTCCCTTCGTCACCACTTCCCTGTAAAGTCTCACACCACCCTTCATCAAGGTCAAGTCTCAATGTGATGTATTGTTATGTCATGTAAAGTCTCACACCACCCTTCATCAAGGTCAAGTCTCAATGTGATGTATTGTTATGTCATGTAAAGTCTCAAACCACCCTTCATCAAGGTCAAGTCTCGATCGCGCACCACCCTTCATCATTTCAAGTCTCAGAATTCTATTTGTCCGTAACACGGAAGTATTGCTTCCCAACTTCCTTTGATAAATCAAGATAAACATATCTACTAGGATGCACACCGGGAAAAATGCATTGGAGTGAGTGCTGAGCACGCGAGTGCTGGCACGCGAGTGCTGAGTGCCAGCACGCGAGTGACGAAACAGCTAAGATTGTGCTGCTTGCAGGCTGCAGCTGTTGAGCATTCAGTTGGCCCAGTTGCCCCTTTTCAGCGCGGCTTTTAGGAGTTGAATTACGCAACTCAACTTCAGATGCCACCATGAAATTT